GCCAGGTTCAACTCCAAAGAAATGAACGTTTCAATAATTCAATGCTAAGCACCTAAAACGTCTCAGAAAAAGAGGAGAAGGAGGAATTCTACAGACAACTACAAACAATAATGGAGAACGTCCCAAAGAGCGATATCAAAATCCTGATGGGTGATATGAATGCAAAGCTGGGAAGGGACAACACAGGAAGAAAATTCACCATGGGTCGTGAGGCTCTTGGTGAAATAAACGACAATGGTCAACTCTTCTCAGACTTCTGCGCCTTCAATGATTTGGTGATTGGCGGTAGTGTGTTCAAACACAAGGATATACACAAGACGACATGGATTTCACCAGATGGAAACAACAAAAACCAGATAGACTTCATCTCAATTTCAAGAAAGTGGAGACGGAGCCTACTGGACACAAGGTCGAGGAGAGGAGCAGATGTGGGTTCAGACCACTATCTAGTACAAGGGACTTTCAAGGTGAAACTAAAAGCCTCGAGGATAGCTGGGGATAGGCCACAATGCAAGTTCAACACTCAATTACTGAAGGACACAACCACAAAGACACTTCACTGCAACTGTCAGAGCAAAGCAGGAAACACTACGCGACATCACTGAAGAATCATGCGTGGAAGAACATTGGAAGTCTCTGAAGACGCTTTTCAACGAAACGTGTTCAACGGTTCTAGGAAGAAAGAAGAGACAAGACAAGGAATGGCTCTCAACGGACACTTGGAAATTAATAGAAGAGAGGAGAATGGTGAAAGAGAAAATGATTCAATGCAAGGACAGAGAGGAGAAGAGACGCTGAGCTCAACTTACACAGCACTGGACAAAGAAGTGAAGAAGAGTGCTAGGAAGGACAAAAGACGATTCTACGACAACCTCACCACTGAAGCTGAGAAGGCAGCAGGCAAAAGAGACCTGAGGACATTATATCAGATAACCAAATCTCTATCCGGGAAGAGATCAACACAAGCGAAACCTATAAAAGACAGCCAAGGGAACCCAATTACCAAGGAAGAAAACAGATTAAACAATGGGCGGATCACTTCAAAGGACTCTTGAACCGACCATCACCTGCAACCCGTCCAGAAATACCAACAACAGCGCGCAACAACTGCAAGTTGACACCAATCCTCCAACGAGAGCTGAAGTCTTGAACGCAATCAAGCTTCTGAAAGCTGGAAAAGCAGCTGGACCAGATGGAATACCCCCGAAGCACTGAAAGCGGACCCAGAGACTACAGCAGACATGCTGACTCCATTATTGCAAAAGGTCTGGAAGGAGGGAAAGGTGCCTACTGACTGGAGGAAAGGTTACCTCGTGAAACTACCAAAGAAGGGCGACTTACGCCTCACTCTGCAAGAACTGGCGAGGAATCATGCTCCTGTCGACGCCAAGTAAAATCCTGAGTCGCATCATCCTGGAGAGATTAAAGGACGCACTGGAGACAGAACTCCGACCAGAACAAGCTGGATTCAGGAAAGGCAAATCATGTACTGACCAAATTGCAACTCTATGCACTATCATCATCGAACAAAGCATGGAATGGCAATCAAACCTGCACCTCAACTTTATAGACTTTGAGAAGGCCTTCGACAGCGTTGACCGTGAAGTAATTTGGAAACTACTCGAGTACTACGGCGTACCCCAAACATTCATCCACCTTATTCAACAGCTGTATGACAACGGCACAAGTTATCCACAACCGGAAACTCAGCGAGGCGTTTGGAGTAAACACAGGAGTCAGACAAACTTGCTTATCTTCACCAATGATATTCCTAATTGTGGTGGACTGGATCATGCGTCGTCAGACAGTGGGAAACGAGAAGACAGGGATATCCTGGACCGAAGTGAAGAACCTAGAAGACCTGGATTTCGCGCGTGGATGATTTATGTTTGATGTCACACAAAATCGAAGACTTACAAGCGAAAACCGACGGATAAACTAGTCGAAGAAGCAGTCGGCGAAGAAAGAACTCCAGGCGAACATAGACAAGACGGAGGTTATGGAAATAACCAACCAACCAACAACAACATCCAGCGCCAATCACCATCAACGGGAGGGATTTGGATGAGGTTACTCCATTCACCCACTTATCTAGGGGGCATTGTTTCAACTACAGGCAGTCGAACTGACGAGGATGTCAAATCGAGCGAGAATCGGGAAGGCGAGAAACGCATTCATCAACCTGAAATCAATCTGGAAACCTTCGTCACTCAGCATCACCAACAAAATTCAGATTTTTAATACAAACGTAAAGTCATTTCTTCCATACGGATCAGAAACTTGGCGGGTCACAAAGAATATTTCTAATAGCCTGTTGCAGACCTTTATTAACAACTGTCTTCGCTCTATACTGAAGATCAGATGACCGGAAAGAATCACCAACAAGGAACTATGGGAAGAAACAAAAAAAGAACCAATCGTCCAACAAATATGCAGGAGAATGTGGAGATGGATGGGTTGGACACTCGCTGAGGAGACCGCTGGGTGACATCGCGCGTCAGTCCATTGCTCGAGTGGAACCTGAAAGAAAAGTGGCTAGTGGGACGTTAAGGCAAGAGTGACATTGAGGAGATGGTGTGAAGAGGAGTTGAAAGAGTATGGACTAACATGGATGCAGGTGAAAAGTACAGCAGAAGACAGAAGCAAGTGTAAACGTGCAGATGAAGCCCTATGTTCCACTAGGAACCCAAGGGGACAATAATAATATTAATATAGGAATAAAACTTTTGCACTTTGGAAGAGTGGAATTCCATTATGAGTAAAATTTATTTTTGATGAAGTCTCATATTACCCTTATATGATTATGAGCAATAAATTGTGCTCGAAACGTCATCAGTAAATATTACTGTATAACACTGTGAGACTTCAATCTTTCATGTTTTATTTATGCAAATGATCACATTTTGTTAGTAAAATTACCTTGTTTTCGATGAAGTAATTACAAATCTCTGCAATGATTGCTAAAACTGCGATGGCCGTCAATAATGAAATGAAAACAGTTATACCTATCACTCTTAGTGGTGATAGTATGAAAGCCAGCATGAGGATGTAAATTGTTATTCCAGTCGTTAAACCCAATCCAATCAAATGGTAAAAATAAGACAGTGAAGCTGACAGACCACAGTAAAATCCATCCATATAAGCCAAAAATTGAGAAAGTCAAAATATAAATCCATGACTCATTGGAAAATAAAGTACAGCAGACTGCAGTTAGGAAGTACCTGAGATCGATATGCTAAATAAACAAGTGATATACTCTGTTACGTAGAGTCTATCTGTCAGACAAGTCGATTCGCGTTTATCAAACAAGATGTACGCTTGAAATTTTAGGGTTTTCTGGACAGAATGATTTCAGTCAGTTTATCTCAATACGCAATAAGAAGTTGTTGTCTGCTTAATGATAGAAAGTTTGAAGTTTGCGACTATCAAGCATCTTGATCATTCAGCGTAAGAAGTAAATATCCATTTGAAGTAGATTCAATTTTCTTTCAGTGTGCGATATCTTGGTTTCCATAGTTTAATCAAATTTAAGCATGTTTCACATCCCGCGGCTTTACACAAATGATAGTAGACTAGCCTTCAATAAACGGTTCCAACTATGTAATTAGTCGTCAGAAGAAAAGGCGAACAAGGTGAAGTTGGTTTTATTATCACCGATCACAGCATTTCTCAGTGATATCATTCAAAGAAATAATTCTGCAGGCTGGAACAATATTATTCTTGAAAATAGTAATAATACTAGCCAATTTGCTTTTACCATTTAAGAACTAGTGGTATCTTCTTTTAAACATGTATAGTTCATGGGGTTGCGATAAGAACGTTCAACATTAATGTGGTCATTCCTTGAAAGATGGTTAGCCGCCTTACCTCTTGTATTGTAAATTCCAATCTTTGTGATTTCCAATCTTCGTAATCCAAATTTATTGAACTTGTTATCAACTGATTTATTCACCTGTCATTAGTATTCGCTAACTCAACATTTCTATAAAAGCTTATTACTCGCTGGTGTGTAATTTGTATATTCGAGGTCATTATTTGATTTATTCTAGATATATGAAATTCTAACATACCTGAAACTAATTGTACTTGGTTATTATTTCTGCTACGTGATGATTCATGCTGATGCTTTTCTTCTGTTTATTTGAAGAGAAATTTGTATTATTGAGAGGTAGAATTTGATCATTGTAGTAGAATATAATTCTGTATTAGATACGTTTTTATATAAGGCATGTTGTTACAGTATTGCCGCTCGTAATCATAATAGTGTATTGATACAACCCCCTAGCGTGCTATTTAGACGTCTACATTCACTTATATTTCAATTTCCCGCATATTCTGAATAGATACTGTAATTTTCGTTGCATTTATTTCCTGATGAACAGATGGATTGAGGTTCTCCACTGACTTTGATGATACAGCCTCCTTTCGTATAATTAAAAAAAAGTATAAAGCAGTAAGTTCTATTGTAATAGCAGAAGACGAGACAAAGACGTCCAGGTATATTTTCAAGTGATCAAACAGCTATTTACATCTATAGAATTTATATTCTATAATCAATCACTGAGCGCGTGATTTTAGTTTACACTAAATAACATGAGATATAAGGTTCGAGTTCAGATCTTATTCTAATGCTAGTGCAGTACTGAACTGTGGGAATATTGTTTAGATATTAACACCAACAAATACAGTGATTGTTACTGTGAGAATGATACTACGTTGGAACCCACTGCCTGTATCACACCACGACACTATAAGTAAAGTTCCTAAAACATACAGAGGTCGTAAGTTATCTGAAATATATAATGCATTTGTGCGAAATATTTCAAACATCATCATAACACAGGTGAAATTGCCAAGATATCACGAGTGAAAATTCAGTGTAAATAGGTCCGAACGTTAAGATCACATGATCGCAGATGAGGCAGTGCAGATGTTATCAGGTAAAATATAGCATAATTATAAAATGACTAACCATGACCGGTTTAGACTAACATCAAATAATGTCTGAAAGCATAAAACTGGCTAAAGCCTACTTATGGATTACTATGACTATATATGACTTGAATCAGTTATTTGTAAGGGGTAAGGACAGTACTGAAATATACTTCATAGTCTTTCTTTACGACCTGTCTGCGATTGACAACCTTACGTATTTGTTTTCAAGGTCAGGTGAATCAGTCACTTTCATTCCTTCATTAACCCTTGCGACACCTCCATTGATGTGAAATCACCTATGTGTGAATCGGTTAACATATTGATATGTAAAATATTAAATATCTCCATAATGAAATTTGGAATAAAAACACATTTCAGGTAACAATATTGTTTCAATAATTCAATTAGCCTTATGATCGCATTAGGAACACAACAATCTACGAAAAGACTCTTTTCAACAACGAATTTATTATCAGGCTGCACAATTCTATACATATATAAACTTTTCTTTAGGAAATTATATCTGGTGAGAGAATTGAAACAGAGTTGTGAATACGTGAAGTAGTAAGAGTAGTATGAAATGCAATTAAAATATTTGTGATGTGAATCATAGTTGAATGTCAAGCACCAACACAATTATTCTCATTTACGGAATAATTCATAAGGCGTATAGATGTTGGAATGTGGTGCAGAATTATAAGAATATTAGACTAATATAAAATGTTACATAATATGATGCTAATACTGATAAGATAGAACTCAATATTAAAAGGAATTCTGGATTTAGGAGTGGCAAGTGGGACAAGTGGGAACAAATCAAAGTGAGAATCGGGGACTGTGTATATTTCTTTTTTACACAAAAGTTTCGCTTAGATTCATGAATTTCGAAAGCCTCCTCTATCTTTCGAAATCTATAATGGAGGAAACTCTTTACGTTAGCAGGGATTCAGTATTATTTATTATTATTATTCCCTTGCGTTAAGAGTGGAACTTAGGAATTCAACAGCACATATCCACTTTGTTCTGTTTTCTACCATTCTCTTCAGCTGGGTCCAGGACTGATCGAACTCTCTCATCTCTCCTTCACACTATCCCGTCAATGTCACCTTTATACTGACGACCAACTCGTCGCTCTCCATCTGAATTCCACTCGAAAACATGGCGTATGATGTCACTCTGAGTTATCTTCAATGTATACCCGATCCATCTACACTTCCTCATACGTATTTTTAGAGCGATTGGCACACGTCTGTTGGTTTGTTCCCATATTTTCTTGTTGCTTATTCATTTTGCCAATTTCATCCTCAGTATGGAGCAAAGAAAGTTGCTGATAAAAGTCTGCAACCTGTTGGAAATGCTTTTCCTGATACACAGTGTAACTTCCTGACCCGAATCCTATATACATATGAATCAAAGCCTAATTAGGTATTCGAGTGTGATGGTTTTCTGTTAACTAACCCTGTTCAATTTACAACTCTAAAGTGTACTAGATTCTATCTTCTGCCTGAGTCTACTACTGTCAACAGTAGTGGAGATTTAAACACTGTGAGTAAATTTTTCGTCTACATCCGTTGCTACCCAAGATCAGAATTAAAGCTTCATAGAGATTCATGTTCTCCGTTAACCACAAATAATAACGATTCCAGCGCAGACAATGGCGGACCCTTTTCCATTCATTTCGCTTGTTTGTATGTTGTATCTTGAAATTTCGATGCCTTGCTAAAATCCAGGGCAACATTACTTTGTATACAGGGAACTTGGTAATGCTTATGAGTCCATAGGCATTACATGACTCCTTCCAAACTGTTTCTAGAGCTTCACCAGTAAAAATGCTATTCAAAGCTAATATAAAGAAATGCTTGTTCTTGAAAATATATTATATATATATATATATATATATATATATATATAATTTCACCGTGAATATTTTCCTTCAACTAAATAATCTCAATAAGCGTCACTGATAACGGTCATATGACAAAGATGAATTCATTTGGTGGGTACAGTGTTGCTTTGACCACATTATTCAAATTCATCGAAAAAGACAAAAAACTAAAGGTGAATAATCCTTTGATTCAATAAAGTGATAGAATCAGCAATCTTCGATTTAAAAATTAAAAGTATGCGTCGGATTATTGATCAAACTTCAGATATGCTCAAAAGGCGTGAAGTTTATAGCCATTGAGAATCAAAATGTACTATGACCACTCAGTATGGATTATCATGTCAGTAAATTTATTGAACGAAGTTAAAATATACGTGTGAAATTATGTGAATATTTTCTAGCAGATACATTTCGAAGCGAGGAGTTTTATAGTGTAGGTCGATTACTCCTATTCCCATTTTATTTATCTTAATTGGTTTAACTTATTCTTGAATTTATTTGAAAAAAAGTTGTTTGGCCATCGTGTCTCATTCCACACACACATTGTAGATATACAGTTCAGTTAGAAATTAGGAATTGGGTCAGTTACCTATAATTGCCTAGAGTTAAAGAAATATGAATTAAGTCCTTTTGAGTTTGCTTAATTCAGATGATGGGATATGTGCCAATGTGGATTTATTTAATTTTGGTCATCAGATTTTATCTTTAGAAAATGTCTGTTTAAGAAAGCATTGAATTTCAAGGAGCACTGGGCAGTTGTTTTTTCCTCCTTTAGGACACTTCCTGAATACCTACGCACAATCTCACCAGGGCTCGAACCTAGGACTTTCATGTTACGTGACCACGTCCATATACTAATAATTTAAATGTCAACCTCCAGTTAAATGCTTTCCACTAGATATATATCCTGAAGCTTCGATGAGAAGTCGTAGCCGCTAGAGTTCACCGTGTAGAGGTGAAGCAAATGCTCATCCAATCTATTGGTCAGGTTAGCGGGCCGCTGATTTCCATCTCAAGATTCTGAGTGGTTAGTAAGATAGTTCCCTTTACCTGTGAGTCCCTTGTTAGGTTTCTGGTGAGTTTGTCAGCCAGCATTGGCTTACAGCGACCAAATGGGAGGAAACAGGTTTTAACCGCCTCTTGGTTTTTAATGTTCTATCTAACTGATTTTGGTTAATGACAAATCACAAGAAGCGAAATTAGAGTATGATAAGTGAAAGTTGAATGAATACGGATCTAAATGTTTAAGGCTCAAGACCAAATATAAAGTGTAAGAAACAAAGCCGATGAAAATATCGTTGCAGAAAACGTAGTTTCAACTGAAAATCGGATTAGGAATGCAGGTCCTTAGCAATGATAATTAATTTTGAACATAAAGAACCAATTTATGTCTTTTTATGAATGAAGCTTTGATGAAGTAAAGCATATGATCCTGACTAGTCGCATTTGTGCAAATGTACTGAATTATAATTTACGTTTGTCAACAACTCTCTAGCTCAGTTGAGTTAGATGGCATGAAAGTGTGTTCTTTAGCCCAAACTTGCAGAAAGTGATGGAAACACTGTCGATGAGCCCTGTCCCAAATGTACGGAAAGATCTTCTGGAGTTTGAATCATCTCGATCTTACTAGCAAGCGCTAATGGTTCACATGAACGGTTTGCAACCACTGATCTCAATCACTCAGTTGTAAATAGTCTTTCGCATTTGTGCTACTTTTCATAAATATGGCTTATGGTATGAAGCAAGTAGCATAGTTTTGATCTGTACATTATGGTTTCTAAAGAACACTTTGGCGAGGTTTCTCCTCGTCATATTGTGTTAACTGGAGATTGTGAAATAATGTGCAATTTGTGAAATGACTTCGGATACTGACTCATCGACCTAGGCCTCTAATAGTAAGACCATTCTGTCCATTCACTCTATCTATGAGTTATAAATGCACGTATAAATTAAAAGCACTCGTGTATTTCTTGAAGAAATTTTGAGGGTGTAATTCACAGAGAAAATCATTGCAGCCAAATCGGTGGCATACCGGTTTGGACGCTCGCCAACCATGCACATGGTCTGGGGTTCGACCCCTGGCCAACGCACTGCTTTACCTAGCTAAGCCAGAAATAATGCTGGTAAGGGAGAAAGGTTGATCATGAGGCTAGCAACCCCATCCTGTAAAACAAACACTGCTACAGAAACTTCAAGCCACTAGCTTGAAGCCCTATGTTCCACTGGAGAACGTGAAGGAAAATAATAATAAAATAAATCCCTTATATTCATTTCTGTTCAATCTTGTTGTCACCTTTTTTTCTTTTGAAATTTCAGAACATCGAAAGATGGTCGTGCTCAATGCATCTACTTAAAATAATGCGAAGGTACAAAGGGAACTGGCCAGCTTTTACGTTTGGGTAAGAACATCGTTCTCTATTAAACGCATTTTTTATTTCTAGTTCTTCGTAGATTCGATTATCATGATACTTATTGCAGTCAGTGCAGTCGTCTTGATCACTCAAGTGTAAGATTAGATTAAGGCAATCAATCAAATTTTACTTTGATTTACAGACCAGTGGTATGCAGATTCATCAAAGATCACGACTATGTGATAAACATTCTTTAGTAAGTTCTCCTAATCAGTTGGTTGATTTCTTTTTAACAAGTGACAAGTGGAATGAATTTAAAATTATTATTATTCTCATGGGTTACGAGTGGAATAAAGTATTTCGTCAGCACGTCCACAGTTTATCTGGTCCTCTCCAGACCTCTTAAGCTGGTTACATGACCATTTACAATTTCACACTATCTCCAACATTTTACGCTTGTAGTCCTTATAGACCGATTTCCATCTCGGTTCTGGTCACGGGCCTGTCACCTGCCAGAAGAACTCCACCCCTCAAGCATATTTGTTGGGCGATAAGATTTCGGTTGGTTACTCCCTACAGTTCTTCGTACTTTGTCCTTTCTGACTGGCTATTAAATGTTTAGTATGGGTCCAGCGAACACAGATGTTGGTGAAAGTCTTGAGCAAGTTGAAAATACTTTTGGTGACGCGCGCACCATTTCTTCTAAAATTTTAAGGGCGCTGGCTCGACGTGAATATTGAAGTTCCGGATATTGTTCCCAATGATGATTGTGGTATATTTCAATACAGATTGCAAGTTGATATAGTTTTGTATTATTTTCCCTACTCTTCGTCTGACATCTGCATTCGTGCTTCGGTATTTAAAACGATGTTGCCCAATGTGAGTGAATGTGTTGACTCCACTCATATGTTTTTTCAATGGCAATCGGTGTGTGTTCTTGGTTGATGAACAAATTCACAACTTCGTAACTCAAAGTCCTGCTTTAGCTACGTTGCATGTTAACTTGTTGAGTTTTGCCTGGAGACATTCAAGTTATTGTGATATTACACATGAGTCATCTTCGACGGTAAAACCTTGTTGAATCTTCCTGTTGGCCCATGTTCTTCTCTTTTTGTACCCCTAGGTTCAGTGTTCAGCCATAATCACAATATCACCAGTAATACTAGTCAGCCTTGCCTCACGCTTGTCTTCACTTCTGAAGCATCCCTGACCTTCACACCATGAATAAATTGGTATGCTGCGTTGTCAAATAGCTACTCAATGAAGTTAACGAAGGCATAAGTGACTCCAAATAATTGATGTGATTTCGAAATTACTTTGTGATCAACACGGTAGAAGGATTTTTCAGTGTAAATAGAGCTTAAGTACGGAAATGACTGCCATTCTATGCTGTATTCGGTGATGATGCATAGCATTGCGATTCGGCTAGCATATGATTTGCCTTTCCTGAATACAGTTTATTCTGGGTGCATCCAGTTTTTACAATGGTCTAAGACGTACTTCTTTGGTAGTTTCACAAAATAGCCTATCTTTCAACTGGTACGTTCATTTCCTCCCTTTGCTTCTGTGGTAGTAGCATGAAGATATCCACTTTTATGTCGAGATCAATTTGCAGTGCCACGAAAGGAATTCCATTTGGTCCGCTTGTCTTCTTGGCTGGCGTTCAGTTGTCCACCACTGAATAGGTTCATCTTCTGTTTCACCATCATTCTCTCCTCTGACGGCTTTCACATGTCCCTAGAGAACGATACGTTTTCTTGCTTCTTCTTTCTTCTCAAAATTAAGGAGTAGGTTTTCATCAATATCAGTTACAGAGATGGTGATCCTTTGTAACATCTACAACGTGTCTCTGATATCTGCAGCAAAGCTATCTCGCAGTTCACATTTTTGCAGGATGCATACGAATTTCCAACTTTTTGCCTTGGATCTTGATGTTATTGCCTTGTGAGAGATAAGAATTTTTGACGCTGCTCGTAAATTCATGATAATTACTCCTTAAATGTACTCAAGGTTTTCATCTGAATGATTGGAGTGCATTACTGATTATCCAGCAAACGATTTCGACATTTGACTTCGTTTGCATTTGCTCTCACAGATTCTCAACACTTTAACTTATCTCCTCGTTTCCTTTGCAGTTTGAGCAGCCTTCCCTGCCTTGAACATCGTGTAAACACTCCATATCTCGACGGTTATACTTGCTTTCTTTTCGTAAGCTGACCGGCTTCTCAAATGGTTCCACAAGTAGGTGTCATTACATCTCACTGACTCCGGGTAGAATAAGTTGACGTTTTATGTCTTTTGCGGTGTTTTGACGTATCTTTAGTAATGCGGCTGTTTCCTGCTTAAAGTCGCTAGATCCCTTTCCTGTTTTTCAAGACATATTTTGAGCTGGTAAACCAATAAACTGTTTACTTTCAAATGTTATTTCAGGGACATAATTAGTGGTCTTACTCTCTTTTCACTAGCATAGCCTGTTTGTGCGGTTTCTTGTTAGGTGATAAACTACGACGTTCACGTAAACACATCAGCAACAACACGTTTGTTCTAACTGTATTATTCCATCTCATCGCAGTCAACAGCTGTTTAGGAAGTAATCCAGAGAACATTCGTTGGAAAGCACTCATTATGGTGGATAATTTAGTATAATTACATAATTATCACCCGCTCAAGATTTCTGACGAAGACTCTTCACATCGTGGTATGACCTAGGCAATTGATAAAACGTTGGACACTGATTTCGCTTAGATACCCAATCGATTTGAATATTTTCACCATCAATCATGCGTATCAATTTCCTCACGTTTAAGTAGTCTTCAGTGTGAAATTATATCGAATATAAATTTTCTGCCGCCTTACTGTACTTCTTCGGTGAGATCAATCAAAAATGTCACGTCTTAGAAGAAAATAACCGCTTACATCATGAAGCAAGTAGTGAATTCAGAATATTACATAACTATCATGAGCGTCAAGTGGAGTGGTTTCTACCACTGCACCAATTCATTCACGTGTAAAGTCATCATATTCGAAAAATATACTTGTGAAATGTTTAATACTTCATATGTCTTGTAATGTACTCATCAGGCAGCGGAATAATCCCAAAATATTCTCCTACTTGTTGAGATTAATTGCTAATGTTGCTAACAATTTCTTTTCATTTCAGTTGGTGCCTTGCTTTTATTTATCTGTGTATTCGTGACAAACATTCAATCGAAATATATTCCGCTGCGTATACTTCTTGGAATTGTGGTAAGTATCAATGTAATTGGATCTCTAACAAAATCGGCAACGATTCACACTAATGTGTTGCAAGAAAAATGAATGTCAATTATCACTACTCATTTCCATAGTTACTTGGTCAGTGCAATGATTTTCACAATTCGCAGAACATACTAATATTGTCTTTATGATTTTTATCATAAGCCTTGTTATATAAATTTTATGGTTAAACAATTAACTTATAATTCTACGTTACCAGTAAATCTATTGAAGAGTGAATATATATTTGTATAGATATGTTAAAAATCGTGTACTGTCAGTGTGTACGAAATACAGTTAAACTGTTTCTGAACTGATCGGACATTCATACAATGATTGACAATTTTGAAGGCTAATGTTGATTTGAATTTGACGTTTGTCAGTCGCCTAAACAGCAGAGAACTGAATTTGAATTCAACACAAATTACTGTGGCTCACAAATTTCACTGCTGCGTATTGAGTCAAGTAAGTCTTGGTGTGCTGAAAAAGCGATAATTCTGTCTGGTTTTTACGTACAGTGATAACTCTCCTTGACATTTTTCAAACATCCCCTAACCATCAGAATTCCATCGGACGAATCACAGCTTGAGCACTATAGTAGAATACTTGATAAAAGCACTCCGTCCCAAGATCATTTTTTTCTTCCTCAAAACCACCACCATATCAAGCCACTCACATGATTTTCAAACTCTCTTTATAAAATTCTGTTTCTGATTTTTTGGTTTTATTGGTAAAATTTTCTGCATCTCGAGTATTTATGCTTTGTTATTTGGTGTAGATTCGATGAACAAACATTTAATAGTCAACTTTCTCTCCATCTGTCTATATTACGTTTTAGTACTCTAGCTATCTCTCTCCGTATTCTGTGATTCCGTGTGAGTGCATATATTGTGATTGCTAAATGTTTCCTCAAACTGGACCCACCCAAAAATCGAATATCTGTAGTTGACTTCGCATTCGTTACTATAAATTAATTTTAATCCATGTTATGCTGAGTAGTTTCACCACTGTTCTTAAGGGTTTTTTAGGACGATTATTTTGACGTAAATAATCTGTAATTTATTTACGACTTTGAGTGGCTTTGCTAACCTGATGTTTAGAGACTTGTTATTTCATGTCTCTCACAAATGATGATGACTATAACACCATCTATCCATTCGAATGAGTGGGGTGCAAAGTTGCACTTGAAAATAGCATAGAATGCATAATATCTCTTATCTTACGTTTTAAAATTCTAATCCTTTGATCTTCGAGTAGAAATTTCAGTTGTTGTTTTTGCGACATAGGACTGCTGGTCTCACGCTAATCTTGCCCTGTTTACCAGAATTACCCCCAGAAAAGAGGGTTTTAGGAGTATGCAGGCTGGGACTCCAACGCTAGACCAAGTTAGTGGTGGGTTAGTATTTAACTATTTAATCACCGACGCATTTCCTAACTCACTTAGCAATAATTATTCATCCACTGTCATTATCACTTACATTTTCCTTCTTTTTGAAGGTCTCATTATGGTCTGTCAGCTTTGCCCCCGAGTTTGAATCTATTCAGATAACATTCGCATTCATATCTCTGGGTGTGACAACTGCAGCAACAATTACAGCAATCGTTTTAGCTTTCAAGCTACCACCTTTGAATGAAAAGGGCTTTGTCGTTTTCACAGCAATATCAATACTCCTTGCAGTTTCAGCTATCATCGTAAAGATTTGTTGTTACTTGTTTACACAAAATGTAATTATTCTCAGAAATGTATATTCGACCAATGAAATACATGAAAGTTTGACATATAAATTATGAGACATTTTATTTGAACATTTATTGACCACGAAAGAAGGCGCTCAATAACGCCTTTGTTTAAAGGCGTTTAGTTGTTTGCACTATATTTAGCACTTTGCTAAGCAGAATCTTAATTGGTGAATGCGCGTAGAAGTGCAGCTAATACTAAGTTAATCTTACAATCGAGTATTCATAATTGGTTGGCTGCGAAATGACAAACAATGACAAGCGGATGGTATTGATATGAGTTCTCCATAGGCCTGATTTCGGCTGAATTTTTCCCTGTTAGTATTTAAAACGATTGATTAATATAAGTAATTATTAAAATGGATTCTTCTTGTTATCCTTATCGTAATAATATGTGTATTATCGTTGTTTAGAAAGCAGACAGGAACGACATGTATATGAATATGAATGAAGCAAATGGTAAATGAAAAGCAAATGAAAAATTATACTTTTTCAATGTTCAACTGAACAGAAGATTGTTCACTAAAAGGATCTTTTTAAAAAATTTACGTATAAAGGGCAATAAACACATTTCTTCAGTTTCCTACTCGTGTAATATAATTTCACTTTGGTGAGGTGCCCCATGAATCAAGCAAAAAGGATCTGTATCGATGATTTTTTACAAAAAGAAACCCGATGCAATAGTTTATGCACATTTACTTTTATTGGCATTTAAAAATTTAGCTGCTCCCTAAAAATAGTAATATAAGGTGAATAACTAGACAGCCTTGTGAAACTAGCCATTTTCCCTCATGGTTAGCAAAATCTTTGTGACGTTTTAATTCTTCTCATTCGATTGACGGTGATAAACAAGTGTCAGAAGAATCTCTGTCAAGTTCATCTAGGATAAAAAAATGAGCACATAATTACTGCGAGCAATCCGCTTAATAATCTTTACACCATGACTAGATTCTATTACACTGCAACTTGAATGATCACCTTGAGTCATCAAAACTTGCATGTTGATCATGAAATTCACTGTATCACAGACTTACTGTCCACTTTATTTTCATTATCTAAATAGCTGTTCAATGAACTAGTTTTAGTTAAATACGAACATTTGTAAAGGATAAGGCAGAAATTTAAATGAACGACCTCAAAATGAATTCATGTGTGTTTACTGTTACTTAAAGAAAAACAGTCGGTAAGTGGTTCGTTTCATTTAGTTTTAAAATGATAAATATTTATGAATATCACCGAGATAATTACCATAGATATGTGCCTACGGTAATTTAGAAAACATCTAGTCTACTTACGGATATGCCTTTTATTGTCTTCATTTTCTAGACTCAAATATTCCGCACTGTGGTAGCGATTCTCATTGGATTATTCATATTCTTTGTAAGTCATTAATTTAACCAGTTTTACCCATAATGGAATTATACTCTACCACAGTGCACACGTTTTGTTCTTATATCAGTTTTACTTTCGCATTTTTAAATTAAGTATTGACCATTGAATATATTGCCATTGCAGTTTGGTGATATTTTTTTCACTTTTTAGAGTTTCTAGTGGAATAAACGTATTCTAGCTCAAAGTTTGAAGGTTCAGGAGCTTTGCATTTTTCAACGGTGTGGGTTGCTACTGTCACCTCCCACCTTCGCTATTTATCGGGCTTACCATAGGACAAGCGAGTTTTAGCAGTCAGGTAGACAGACATCACACCCAGATCATGGACATGGTCTATGAAGATTCTGCCACTGAACCACTGATGTAAAAGGAATGGTAACATAGAAAATAAAAAGTAGTCATATAAAAATACCTGCGAAAGAGGAAATTTCTTAAAATCATTGTGTTAAATGTGCAGCAAATTTCTTAACCTCAGACGTAGTTCTAAAGCATTCTGAAATCAAACGGCCATTAAGCAAACACTGCTGAACGATGGTTGAGTGGTTTAGAATTTATCCTGCAAAAAATGAGATGTACACTGCGATTCAATCGCAACCAGCTGGATATATCTATATATATATTTCTACTAATAGTCACGATGTCAGAACAATAATAATTAGAGAGAACAACCACTCTGGTGTATTTCTCTTCACCTTTAATTATAAATCCAATAATTCTAGCATACGGTAGCGCCGTTAAAAGGTGAATTAAATTATATCAGAATGTGTAGTTTTGAGATAAAAAATAAAAATAAATAAAATAGATAGTACAGTTGAGTTTTGATCATAGTTTAGAATAGGTATCGTCAATAAAAAGATGAGATAAAATATGACTGCATATATATATGCATATATAATCAACAAAATAGAAGTTTCAAGGGTGAGTTTAGTCAGTGGTGTGAGAGATAAGACGAGTAGTACTGATACATAATCAACAAATGAGAAGAAATAGACTTAAGTAGAAGGGTAACAGATAACAATATTATTCATGAATGAATAACAATGGTGTGGTGTAAACACAGAAAAAACAGTGGTGAACGATTATCAGGTAAAATAAATAATATGATAAATTGGGATGAAAACGAATTTTTGAAGGCATTAGTTCCTTCTATGAAGACGTCGTTTATCTGAAACGTGTAATGTGAATTTGCACAACATATTTCTGACATTCTGATCATACATACTAGTACTTGTCAAACACATTCACGCAGAAGGCAAGAGAGCAGGAATTACTATAATACAGATCAGACTGTGTACGGGTCAATATCATAAATATGGGGCTGACAGATGATCTGAGGGTATGGATAGGGGAAAATGGAAGGAAGATTGAGAAAATATCATTAAGTAAACCGTTTTAGATTGGATATGCAATGCAAGTTTCAAGAAACAACAAATAATCTTTGGTTACATGTGACATGTGTAGGCCGTTTTATGGTCGAAGCTTCAACAAATATGTAACCCAGCGTTATTTTATATATTGATTTAAAGGCATCATTGAAATCATCCTGATGACTCGTCGCTATGATGTGCTTCGCTATAGATGATCTGGGATATCTATTTTCGGGATCACTTGTCTATGATGATTTTATTCGTCGTTGCAACAAATTTTAAATATATTTTTTTGACCTAAGCCTGCAGAGACCTACGGGACCTCTCTGTGTACGTGCGTCCACACAAAAATGCAAACTTTTAGAAAGAGTGAAGCATGACAATATCTTACGGATGCTGTGAGATCGTTTTGTCTATGAAAATAAGTTTAGCTGCATAGTAAGCTCAACTAATTGCAGCCTTGAGTCTTTGTTTATTGATCAGACTTGAATTCGTTGAAATCTTCATCGTAAAATGGCTTGAACTCCTCTTATGCGTTCAAACATTATTTGTTTTAACTGAAAACTTGAATTGCTTATCCAAACTAGAACGGTTTACTTATTTTTAACACATAATTCATTAAATTCCAACGTGTTACGTCCGACGATAATATCACACCTAAGGTTAACAAGTTCATTTCACCTTTTCATAGTGTGTGGAGGAAGCCTTCTCTTTAAAAATTTAAAACACTTAGTTCCCTTTGTGAATTTAGATAAAGGAATAAGAAGACATATTATCAAAGGGTTTACTTATTGATATTTTCACCACCTGCTATTTACATCTACCCCCTGAATTTTATCTCAGCTGCCTGCCCCTTATTTGTGACCTTGACATGCACATAGTCGCATCTGTATTGTAGTATTTCCTGCTCTCCTACCTTCTATATAAATGTGTATAACAAGTACGCGTGTGACCGGAAATGTGTTGTGCAAATTCACATACCACGTTTCAGATAAACTACGTCTTCTTATTCTTTTGTCAGAGATGTTTTTTTAATACAACAAAAGGTTTGCAAAGCAATACACGAAGTCTAATTTTGAACTATTTTCCTAAGTATAATGCATTTTGTATTCTCAAGCATTCGCGAATAATACACGCCCATGGATTGCTAGCACACCAGACATATTACTGAATTAAGTATATGTGAAGATAATCAAAATACAATACATATTCAGCATTGCTTATTATGTTTGTTTTAAAACAGCAGAATACCTAGTTGTAAAGGTCAACCTTCTCGTATTTATTTTGTCATTTTAGACAATCTTCATTTGTCTCAGTTTACGAAAATGGATAGTTTGGTGGTTTGCACCTAATCCCATAGTATTTATTCTAGCCTTTGCTGTTTGGTTTCTTATGTTATTCCTATTCACACAAATATACACCAGCATACTTCCTAGAAATGGGAGTTCCACCTAAATATATCGTTTGTGGATTATGATTTTTATCTATGGTTAAATAATAAATACTCTCCTGAATGAGACTGGCTCTTTCACTACAGTTAGTTTTCGTGACCAAACGTTGATCATGTTTCCTTTGCATGTTGATATGTTTTGTCATTCTAAAAAACCTAAAGTTTATAAAGTATAAATACACAAGAGTCGTTTTTCATGTGAATTCATTCACTTAGCTGCATGATCGTAATTAACTATGATTATTTTGTATATCCATGCGCAAAGTGCGTACTCATCTATCTTGGTAGACCAGTAATAAAGCTGATTAGGAGGGAAGCTTGGGTATGAGGCTACCAACCCCATCCTGTAAAAATAAACATTACTGTTACGAAAACTTCAAGTCGCAAGCTTGAATTCTCATGTTCTACTGGGAACGTGAAAGAATATAAAAAATATGTGCGCTTAGAACAAGAGTGAGAAATTTAGTTTGTGGTACTGTTTGCATCATTGGAACACTTACAAACCGATAATGAAAAATCAAAAAAAGCAATTAAGCGGGCTGAGGGAAGATTGGGAAGTTTAGTCTAGTGTAATGTAAAAAAGCTTTCAGATGAAATTTAATTTTAATGGAGAGCATGGAAACAAGTACCAGAAGAAATAATGAAGTGGGTGGAGATAGTAGACAGACTGTTAGTTTAGAGACTGATGTTAATAACTGTATTAAGAAAAATGCACAAAACAGGAACAACAATATCCAAATACTGATAAGAGTTGAAATTGCTCAAGCTAGAAGGATAAAAGGCAGAAGGTGTTTCTGTCTACAGAAATCAAGGTTTCCCATCTCAATCGCTAAGTCCCCGGAAATGCAAAGTATGCAGAAGCTCAGTTGATTTTCAAGATAATTTTGGATGAATTCTCACCACGTGCTGAGTGACCGAATGACGTAATTTGTCTTTGTACTTGTTGAACAACATTCGGCTGCAAGATAATGCAAATCGTAATGCTGAAACGAAACACGTTATTATCAGAGTGTTTGAAATTCATTTCTATACAGGTGTGAACCAGAAAGTTGCTTTCTAAAGTGACCTTTCTGTACAGCATCAACTTTGAAACAAAGATGTGGTTTTCTGTGTTTACCTATGAAGCATCCAGGTTAGCTTTTCTCAGTTATTGTCCTTCTCAAAAAGGAACTCAATATCCACTGATTCAGAACAAATCGTATATGGCTCACTTTGATTAAAAAGCCAGGAAAGTGAGAAACAAAACGTATTTGTTTGAATTGATATATTAATTTTCATTAAATTAAAAAACCATCGCATCTTCAGTAATCATTCATTTAAAATAATCCACTCACGACAGCATTGTTTTTATGCATGGCAACATTTTGCTTTGATGCAAATTAAGCTTTGAAGGAATATCAAACACAAAGCGATGACTGTGACAAGTCGTTTCGTATGAAATATGATGTTAGTGAGAAACATACAGCAGGTAATGATCACAAAAGAGACATATAATAACAATGGAAATCGTCAGAAAACTCGACATACGTAAGTAAAAAAGCTGGATATATACAAACGAAGGTAGGATCTGCTTTGGTTAAGCTAACTGCCTCTGGAATGTTACATTTTATACTTCAATTCTCTTGATCTGATGTCGTTTTTAATTGCATGTTGATCATACCTGATATGCTTTATTCTATATGTACATACTCGAATTAGTATTTCGTTTAAAAAGGATTTATGAATTGTGTTTCATTGATTCTTACGTAGTTTCAGGGATCTATTGAGTGTGGAGGGAAAGTGCGTTGTCAATGACTACAATCACTTCACATTCATGATCGGGCGTGGTATGATAAGAATGCGACTAGTGTTCATATTTAGGGTCTCCATTCTGGTAGTAATCTCTTATCGTCTTATTTGATGATTTCTCATATATACAGAAGTGCTAACTATTCCGTTCTTAAAGGAAATGAGTTTAGTTGAGTTATCTCTATGCTGCTTGAGTCAGTGAAGTAAATTTGTTCCTCATAAAGACAGACGTCTCACTGAAAGTGAAATGCAACAGTAAATCTCGTATAATATTCAGCCACAATTGGCACAAACCTCTGGAAAGGCATTGACAAGATTCATATCTAATTATTGACTAACATTGCCATAATCTTTAAACCAAGTATCTGTATGCAGTACAAAATTTGTGAAAGAATGAATACTGAACAAGGAATACTATTTTCGATAACTTCACCATCAGGCTCTACAGTTATATATAAATTATAGTGAATGAATGATTTAGTGTTATGAGGATCACTACCGTTTCAATAACATCGAATCAATGATAGTATCCACATAAAATAAGCTGAATGTTAGAAAAATCAGGAGAGATAATAGTACAAATTAATGAATTTACAGTCTCTACTTAAGGCCAGGGCAGTAGCAACAGCTGGCATGATTTTCTTAACTTCGTAATTATTTCACTTGGTATACCGCCCTTGAATTGCAGTCCTCATTATTCTAAGAGGACTGAATTATTTCGACCATGCCATAAATATGATTTTCCTTAGGTGATTGCAGGATACAAGAGAGTGGCGCGTTTTCATTTGTCTTTCGCGAATTCGATATGTACTGACATCAAGCAGGTATAATATAAAAGTACGAATAGTATAATATGTGAATCAAATTGCTTTATTTTTAGTTCCCAATAGATTTATGTCTAATGAAACTGGTGACGGCTAGATTTGGCTGATGTAAATGAGGAAATGATACCTTGATAGCGAATTGTTGGAGACAATCTGCAGGAAGACTTGGACTCAGTTTTCTTGATAGTTGTCCCTCGTCAGTAAGGCGTATCTGCTCGCCACCTAGCACGGTGGCCACTACGCAGTCATGGCTTACAAAATTCAGTCAACACCAGATAAAAAGGTAGACACATTACACTAGTTACTAACTAGTGTCGAATCATAAGTATCCAGTACAGTCCTTACAAGAGGTCAATCGCGAGTCCGAGTAGCTCAGTGCTAACATCAGTGAGTACAGCACTGGGTGACGCGGATGTGAACCTCATTAGGGACATGAATCCCTTCAAGGTCGCATATATGCCTTGCTGATGAGTGCCAGCTATTGCGTTTGATAGTTTATCTGACTGAAATCAAGGATTCATTCCGCGTTGGATCTATCATTTATAATACGCTAAGCTGTAGCACAAACAATCAAGACCTGTGCATTCAATATATGGCGAAAACGTCATCACAATTTCTTGTGAAAAGGAACAGTCTACATATTGAATCCCTTGCCTAACAGTATTATATAGCTTGTCGCAATCAACTAGTAAGGGAATTTATATCTGGTAACCTTATCATGACATTTTTATCCATCTATCTTTTGCCGTATTCTGAGCATAAAGGGAAATGATGTGTAGCATTTTATACGGGTAATATTGATGAGGATGTTAAAGTTGTCGTAAGAGCTGATGTTTTCGCAGTTAGCAATGCAACCAACTGGTACAAGATATTGCGGGTCATCAGCTGACACACAGTAAGCAGTTAACTAACACTGTATCTTCATCATGTTCTGTCGAAATACAGAGTTGGAAACATTGAGGCAAAAGCCATTGTATTGTGTCTGTTCACTGAAATAACGATTCATCCTTGACAGTGAAGACCACAGTTTCAAATATCTTAATTTACATAAACAAACCACACAGACAGAATGATACGTCTTTCTGCACCTATTCCATTTAGTGTACATTAACCTCAAAATTTGTAGCTTCAATGCAACAACATTTAGTAATCCAGTTAACCTGATTTCTACACAATACCTAAATGGAAACCAATGATTCTTAGCAAAGAAATCTCTCTTTCAATCACCATATACACTGTGAAAATATACAGCGTCACTGATTCACTGGATTTAGGCAGAATTCATATTACAGTGAAAGACTAAATCGACTGATGTCAAGTAATTGCTTGACCACTGCTCACTTTATTTATCTCAGTCTTATGTTAAGCAATGTTACTTGATGAGTAATACAACTGCTTTCAATGCGTAACATATTTCGCAGGCAGCTACCGACAGAAAACCATTGACAGCCTCTAAATACTTAACTCACACTTCAGTATTCATCAATTCTCAACACCTATTAAGAGTGGGAAATACCAACCACTAAGCCTTGAAAGGAGGGAATATGAAGAACTCCAGTTTGTATTTTACAATGAAGGAATTTCAAATGTAATATTCATTCAGAATTTTCTCCAAGAAGGAAAATGCCTGATTTCTGAAAAATACTTCTAACTGCCAATCACAAGCTATTTGTTGATATAAAAGCCAGAACAGTTATGTTGCTAATATAACAGCTAACAGCAAGGATGAATATTTTTTAACGCGTTCCTTGAAGGGAAGTGCCTGTTGACATTTGTCATATCATAATTATATGAAGTATGCCCACGAAACTGCTACATGCATATCCCATTAGGTCAGGATGGGGTTCAGATATGTCTAAGATTACGCCTGAATAGAAATTATGAAACAAAATATTGAAACATCATCAAATTACAAAGAATGCAGCTACACAATAAAAGGCTGCCACACTATGTCAGACTCGGCTTTTTTCTATGCTGTGGTTATCTGGAGGTCATTTGCTTAACTCTGATGTAGTTATGGGTGACAAATACTGTGGTGTCACCAACTAGGATTAAAAAGCTATCCAGTACTCCTTGTCTCCCTAGTTGATATCATTTTATGATTAAATTAAAATGGAAAAGAACCCAAATCTCTACAAGAACTGTGCTCTTATTATTATTAATATTATTATGCTCTTACCTTAGTCAATTAACTTCCTATCCACTGAGTTACATTTAGGAAGCTGTATATAGTCATGAGAAGAAGGTAAAAATTAAATTTGAGGGAACACCAAATAGGTGACACATCTTTTTCCGAAAGTCACCGAGGTAACCAAACTGTCCTTACCCTTTATTACATTTGCAATAATAAAATTTATAGTTTCAATTAAGTTTCAGTATCAAATATCTTATTAATTATCATAACCATGCAATAAGTAAATTCAATTTATATAATTTCAAATTGTATTCACTATGTTAACATTACGAAAAGCAAGTGGAGAAAGTTAAATTATTCATGCGAAAAGGTTGATATACAACTTTTGAGTCTCTGTCTTGTATCTTTTATTTTCCGGAAACATAATAGATATCAGTATATAAATTATTACTACCGCTGTCCAAGTAATCAAGGTTAACCAAATTGGTAGAAGACTGCTTGTTTCAGGCCTACTGCAACGTTTTATACCCTGCCCAGTTAGATATAACACCTAATAAAATAAAAGGAAATACAGAAACATAAATATTAAGTACATCAACACTGATGTTAGCACGGTGTTTCGCATGTAAAGCTGATAATAAATAGTAAAAATTGAATAACCTTTGTGATTTGAGGAATATGTTGAATTATATATGATTTGATTTACATTATTAAGAAGCTAGAAATAATGTGTTCACACAATCAAGCTCTAATTGCGACATTTGGAATGCTTTCTAGAGAACAAGTATGAACAGACAATTGCACATATACACTCACAAAAGTAGGAGCAGATGTGTGAGAAAGTCGATGGCTTTAGAGTAGTGGAATCGAGTGAAGTCTTAGGTTTCACCTGTAACACAAGTGAATAATAATAATAATGACAAAAAAATCATGAACACGACTAATAAATAATTAAAATAATTTTTCCTTCACGTTCCCAGTGGAACATAGGGCCTCAAGCTAGTGGCCTGAAGTTTCTGTAGCAATGTTTATTTTACAGGATGGGGTTGTTAGCCTCATGCACAACCTTTCCTCTTCACCAGGATTATTTCTGGCTTAGTGAAGTAAAGGAGTGCGTCGGCCGGGGATTGAACCCCGGACCATGTGCATGGTCGGCGAGCGTCCTAACCGCTATACCATGAACACGACTAAAATTCATTATCTGCGTACTTCCATAATGTGGACTTTCAAACTTATAATTATTAACGAAATTCGTGATCAGACTCACCGTCAATAGGGCGCAAATAAAGATTAAAGGAGTTAGATAGGCTGAGATGTTCTAAAAATAAACAAAAACAAAATACTCTTATTCCAAATTCAAATGAAGTAAGATAAATATTTCATCTTATATGTCGTGTAAAGAGATCTAATTTGCCATGTTTTAAATCGATCACGAACTAACATCAGCGAAATAACTTTTAAAAACAAGACAGTATTGTGCATGAGACACCTTGGACCAAGGATCTTCAGCTATCCTATCGATTTTACTTTTTTCAATGTCGAGTGTATAGGACATACTCGTCAGCCAGTGTCATCAGCACATATCTTTTGGTGCTATTCACTGATTGACTATGAAGTGTTGGGTATATTTACTGGTTACAATTGCGAACAGTGAAGATGCGCAAACGTTTTTGCTATCGGTTACACACAACCAACACCAGCAATGAAACATATTGCTTTCTGGTGTTTGTGACGAGGTTGGATGAATAACATCTGGATTTCAAGCAAAATTAAAAACCAAATAACACAGCATAGGTTATCCAAATCGTCATGCAAAACCACACAAGTTATACACTAGAAATGAAAGAGAAGATTTGTAGCTCAGGTGAATGATTTTGATGTGGTTGTGTTCTCTGAGCTGGATAGTTCATTCGCGAGGCTTTCATCGCCATACTGTGTGACATCTTCCGCCCATACTTCAATTTGAAGTGAACTTTTAGATTTTTCCACGAATTTATTAATCATCTCTCCTGGTGACCTTAAACGTGTCATGATTCACTGAATCATCTATCAATAGACGCATCAATATAGAAAAAATTTATCAACCGATAAGAAAGAAACCCCACACACAAAGAGTCAAAGAAACAATCGGTTCCAATACAAGTAATCCAGAAGGTGTGAAAACACACAAAAACAACCAATCACGCTCAAGGTCACTAGAAGAGTTGAATAATAAACTCGTGGAGAAATCTAAAAGTTCACTTGAAGTCAAGGTATGCGCTGAAGATGTCACCTAGTACTGTTATGAAAGCTTCGCGAATTAACTATCCAGCTCATGGAACACAAACACATCAACAAACGTTTTTACACTGGGATCTTCCCAAGTGAAGATAGCGATTCATGCGTTACTTGAATTTGAGAAATCTGCATGAGTGTAATGAGCATCTATGAATGAGCTGTTTCGTTTGTGCTACTAAGAAACACTTGTAAATAACATGTTGTGTAACATGTGTCGGAATGTTGAAAATTAGCTTGGTGGGTGAAGCTGAGAACAAGAGAAATGAAGATAATTATGAAACCGATATGGTGTTTTTATTTAGCGTCGCTGTTTCGTTATTATCATGTGAACGTATGATGAATGAATAATTTCTCTATCACACAACTCAGTTTTTCACCATACTTTATTAATGTGTCCCAAACTTTACTAAAATTACCTTGACAATATTAATAATCACATGACTTATTCAGGAAAAGTTATTCCTTTCAACGTCAATTGGCACTCACGTGATTCTTAGTAGCTATTAAAGTAATAAACACAATGAATCCTACTCCCGCGATTCCACCTGCAAAACTCAAAAATATAATGCTTGCTTTCTTCGACAGCTTTTCCTTTTTGTATCCCAAAATTAGAGCAGCCACAGAAACAGCCAATGTCAGGAACCATGATAAAATATTCCACAATCCGACAGCTGCTGTTATACCAGGTATTCCCCAAGACAACAATAAAACCTACAGTATGTATAGATTAGGTTAAGGTGCAATATTATCGATATTTTCAAAGACAAATTCATATTAATGTATTCATATAGACAGCAAAATAGTTCAACTGTGTTTATGACTGTTATCAATATCATAGGGTGATCATTAAACGCTATTATTAATAATTTTATCCTTTTAATTTCCAAGTGAAAGATAATGCTTTGACAGAAACTCTCCATTTTCCCCTCTTTTCTGCAGTCCTTTCTCCACAGCTCGCCCTACTATCACATATTTCTTTTAATCTACTCTTAAGATATCCTCTACGTCATTCCCTAACAATCACTGAACTCGTCATTGATCATTCATGTTCCCCTTAAAGTCTTGGTACCTGCAACTATGCAACAGTTCGCATAGCTTATATCTTATCAATCCTAATTTCATCTTGAATATGTATTGGGCTATACTTCGTTAGTCATTCTCCTGCCATAGTTGTTTTTCGGCAATACTGACTAAATCTCTATTTCATCCTCAATGTGGAGCCATAAAAGTCAGTTGTTGAAGGTTGCCTGTGTTAGCTTACTAAAATGCTCTAAGTGATGTAATACTGCTTTGAATCATATCTTAGCAATCGGATGAAATCAATATTACCGTAACATATCTTGTTTCTTTTGCTGAATGCAACTAAATTCCACACTGATTCAAGCGAAATGAAGGCTCGTTTCGCATTTCAGCCCTCAGCTGAGTCTTATGTGGTTCACCATTTAAACAAATGTTTCAGGACGTAGTCTGAAAGATGCTGCATGGTGGTAGGTAAGTTCCTTCATCATAATCTGCACAATTTTGGTTTCCACCACAGATAACAAACTTTATGGGACGTGAGATAAACATCTTCAGATCTTCTGGAAAGTTCTCATCGGTCCAAACTATCTTCACCTTCATTATCCACACTGTTTACTCCTCTCTTCGCTTCAAAATCATTACTGAGCTCTCCGCTCTGACTCACTTGACTTTAACTGGCATCAGCATTTGGCTGTGACACTAAGTGAATAGACATCTAAAGCACTCGGTACCTTCATCTGCCCAGCCATTTCAAAACAAAGTCTAATCTATCATCCCTCTTTCATCACTTAAACTATCACTTTCCTGAGTATTTTTTCCTCAAAGTGGTTGTTATTCTTATGCTTTATTGTCTGGGTGAGTATTTTCCATGAATTAAAAAAAGCGATGACCCTATGACAATGAAATACCTTAATGGGTTTCTGCTGTATTCTGTCTAACATGTTGAATTCATCACGAAGACAGATTTTCTCAGAGTTTTCTTGAATAGCCGATGTGGTATTGGAAAGCTTTCCGTAGCAGTTACTATTGCTGAACTTGTTGTTCCTATGTGGAAATCTAAAGTAATCGGAATCGTTCATGTTGACGAACCGACTACCCTTGCCATATATCACGGCCATTAGACAAACACACCAGTAAGCCACCAAAAGGCTAAGAAATGAGAAACCAAGTTAAGTTTAACTCAGATAACATGGGAACGCATCGTTCAGAAAAATAATTCAGCTTATTTCTGATACTTTATCCGCCATATCATTCCATGATCAGTATACCTGTCTTGCCTCTACATCCAATTAGACTTCTCTTCCTAACAGTCCCTAATTTCAACTGATGTTTTATCGATATTATGGCAACGTAGAATCTGAACATCAGCTCCAACTATTGTTTCACATGGATAGTCCTCATTCTGTAGAGTTTTATGTCTTGTATAAAAAGAATCACTGTAAAATGTCATCACATCAAACTTACAGCAAGTATTAACAGTCCAATAAACAATGACGAGCGCTCATGAACTTTCTTAACAAACAGAATCACCCCAGTGAGAGTTAAGCCAAGTACACTGAAAAAAGAAATATTGAAATCGATTAATCAAATAGATTGAAAATTCCCATTCAGTCATAGAAAAGAAAAAGTGTTCAGCAAAGAGTTACTCTTTTCGGCGATATCATTCTCAAGCTGTACAAATCGCAAATTTATAGTAATTTGTCTTGGCAACAAAAGGAATATTTCCAAAGATGTGTTAATGCAATTGTTAGTTTTTGACAAACAGATTACGTAATTTTGAAGGCGTTAATCGGTTAGAAACTAAAATAAAGTTACAAAAGTAGGTTGGGTGACGTAATCTAATCCATCTTAACACCAAATACGTAATTTTGTCTTACCTCTTTCTTCTTTGTTTGTCTATTTCTTAATTGCATTATTTTCTACCCCCACCCTCTATTAAATCTCTACGCTCATGACGACTGTTGCTAACTCGATTTTCGTTTATTTTTAAGTGAATCCTACTCAGCTTATTAACTTAACTCTCATTCATTTTCAAGTGAATTCTACTCAGATTATTAACTTGACTCTCATTCATTTTTTCATTGAACCCTACCAATTAGATTACATCACCCAACCTACTTTTGTAACTTTATTTTAGTTTCTAACCGATTAACGCCTTCAAAATTACGTAATCTGTTTGTCAAAAACTAACAATTGCATTAACACATCTTTGGAAATATTCCTTTTGTTGCCAAGACAAATTACTATAAATTTGCGATTTGTACAGCTTGAGAATGATATCGCCGAAAAGAGTAACTCTTTGCTGAACACTTTTTCTTTTCTAATCAAATAGAACTGCAAATCGTATACATTGTATTTCCATGGATCATTAGAAGCTACCAAAGAGGAATTGAATTATCATAATACAGTCATACAGAATGTCATTATCGTCCTGATAACTTATGAATATATACTACTGATTAAAATAAAAACCAGTAACATTTTCCTACACACCATTCACTTCAGGAGTAAATTTGAAAGTGTATTGTTCAATTGTTATGAGGAAATTTACGCTTTTATGCGATATAATCGTAAAATACCACCTAGTAGTTGCGAGTCTTCAGCCCCAGTGAACTTTCTTACTAGGAGATGTGTGGTCCCACTGTCATAATCCTATTTTCGAGAATACAGCCATCAAAACATGTCACAACTGATATTATATGCAATGCAGAAATTTAGAAGATAGACTGTTGAGTAGGGTTAGTAAAACCTGACAGCTGTTGAAAGTAAATAGGCGTGAATAACCTTGATTTAAATAGTCTTCTTTTGAAAATGAACAGACACTAACCTTCTCAGGTTATCATTGAAGGAACTACAAACATTTAAGGCTTGTAAAAATAAATGTAATATAATGGGAAACATCTGTGCATTTGACATTATTTAATATCGATTTACTTACAAAAATATGAATGGGAGTAATGGAGTGCCGTACACCTTTTGCAGAGTTGGTCTGTGGGGAAGGGCGAGTAGAGGAAGCATTACAGTACAGACTTACATGGTCGCTGAGCACATTGTGATAATTATTGTCATCAAAACAGTTGCACATGATAAAATCAGATACTTGATTACAGTTCATTTTTCATTCTAAATACAAGTAAATTTACCTACCTTCAGGTAACAGCCTTCTGCATAAGTAACTGCAAACTTTGCATTCTGTAAAATAAAGTCTTGGAAATGTCCTTCTACTGACAAACCTTTGATGTTTCATACATTACCACTTATCATATAGTTTGAGAAATCAAAAAAACTGATTATATGGCAATTGAAATATATAAAATATTCTACTGTAACTGAATAGAAATTGATGTGTGCATTACTGCACTCCTTTAGACTGAAACGAATATGTATATTTTAAACTTTAAATTTTCAGTGATTATATTGGTGGGAAGATGAGTCTACAGGTCACACGGTTTTACTGATGGAAAGATTTAGAAAAATATTATGCCTTTCGATTTCCTGGATTGTTGACGTCGAATCAACCAGTGAAGAAGCATATATATTTCAATCAAACAGTATGTTGGCCCACATTTCAATGGTGGAAACGAGCTTTTCATTTAAAACATGTGCTTAATATGTTCCATTCATACGAAATTCTTCAATCCGTTCTCCTAACATTCCAGTGATTTTAAAAATTAACTGATTTCCTGAATTCCATTATTTACAAATCCTACTGATGAAGAAAGAGTCCATCAGAATAAATACTTTTTCGAGGCTGCTTTACTGACAAGAATTCCCTAGCATTTGATCTGAGATGATCGTCAGCTTCGGCATCACATAGCGGAATTCGGTGGGCAACATATGGATTCAAAGCAAGAAGCCCATATGATGTCGAAATCAATTCACTTCCCGTATATTGTTATCATTGAATATACGATCAGGCTTATCATAATTATGGGACAGACCATGGTACATATAAAACAATGACATATATATATATATATAGTATGTTTTTAAATAGCATAGGCATTACGTGTACTGATCACCAATAAACACAGCGAGATTCTGTTTAAGAAGATATCTGAAAGTATTCAACCAATTATGCAGGGGAATTCAGCTATGCAAGTCAGTAAACGAACCTGCTGTACTTTGTATAATATGTATGAGGCTACAGCTATTCACAAATTAATTATTCCAATAACTTAGTCCCAAATTACTCCTGATTTGTTAATCAATGGTGTAAGTAATGCTGGTCTGTTGAACGTGTTCATGGTGTACATCAGTTTACCCTCTGAATGGAATTACTGATCCTCAATAAAAACTGCTAAACCTGTATGTCAACATTTGAGCTTACATGATTTCATATTGATCAACTGAAATCAACTTTTTGAATCAAGTCATTTATATGTCTCATTAATTTTACAGCTTTCAGTGTACTTTGAACTTATGGTTAAATATTGATATCACATTAATTGTTATAAATGGTCTCTGGCCTATTACGACTGGTTCATCATATTGTGTAATTTCATATTTGTTTTTGCAACTAGTAGAATGTCAAAGATACTTCTCATGTTCTGTTCTTTCCTAGATGTCTCACAGTTTCATTTTTTAAGTTTGATTTTCAAAGCTTTAATTGCATGCCTTTCACTCAGAGTTAAATCCACCGAAAAGAGGAATTCTTACCTGTTCGAATTAACTGGTTGATAGGATTTGAGTGAAGTGATGGAAGGTTTAAGTTCAACTGATAACTATCGTGTCACGTTTGTATTCAATGATCCATGCTCAGTTAGGTGCCAAGAACGTGTGCTAGCCATCTCAATCGGTACAGCTTCACAACCTCATCGATCGAATTATTCCACTTATCCGTCACTGCATATCCCAAACTCAAAATCACTCATCATATTATATCACTTCACACGAGAGGTATGGACCAAGTAACCACGGTTCACTCACCTGGTTCGTTTCTTCTGGTACTACATTTCCAATTATTACGACACAATGGTATAAAGAAGAACCGAGTGAAGTGGTAAAACATACACACAACCTTCAACCAATAACTGGATTCCGCGTCTACCTCAGAGATCATAGGCGCGCATGCATATATATATATATATATATATATATATGTCCTGAAGTTATTCTAGACTCAGAAACAGCAGTCCGTCACTCGATTCATCTATTCAATTTTGTCTGAATTTCTAACTAATTAGTGTATTCTGTGATACTTATCTGAAATATGGAATTCTGACCAGATACCTTAAGAAACATCTTTTGTGTTGCTACCACTATTACTACTATAAAGTTTTGCGTGAGGAAGGTGCACTTAAAAAATTCAATGTAAGACATTATCATCCCGGTTTAAAAGTTTATCATTTACGTACAATATCGAAGGTTTTTCTTGAAATTTGTGTGAGGTTACACATATAGACTCAGTTACATAATACTCCTTGTTACATGTGTGGTTTTCAGTTATGGAAATGGTATAATAACATATGCAGTTGAGAATGTAATGATTAATCAGAACAATGTGATCAATGCTCATCCGCATATGAAGACATTATTTAGAAGTGGCTTTGACATAATCTAGCTTGTTATCAAGAGAAAATACCTCATCTAAGTCGTTCCTAACTTTCAAAATTTGAGGTGTGTGTGAAAGATGTGACTTTATTTGAAATCTGCAGATTATCAAAGAATATCTCTTCAGCTGGAAGTGGTGTTGAAACTGGATATTGGACTTCATGCTTTGTTGAAGAAGGACAGTTTTACGCTTTCTTTTACAGGTTAAAATTATGTATTCCGTAATGTTTTATCATTGTTAAAATGAACAGTAGCAGTCATCTATGTCACAATGTTTTTTCACGAATTCATACTGATACTGAAATGCATTGTACCGATATTATTGATCAAGTTTTGTTTTACTTTATTCCTGAACAAACCAAACGGTTATTACTATTATGATTTCCATTAATTTCAAGAGGAACATAGGGCTTCAGGCGGACGTATCCATGACGGTCCGTTTTCTGCTAAAGTTTTCACCTGGCCACAAGTCTGCTTACGTGCTTTCATCTCCTCTTCACATCACCTCCTCCAAGTCATCCTTGGACGACCAACTTGACACTTCCCTTTTGGGTTCCAATCGAGGGCTTGTCTAGTGATGTCACTTGATGGTTTCGTCAGAGTATGGCCAGCCAATCCATCTCCATATCTTCCTGCTCATTTGTTTTACAATTGGTTCCTGGTTGGTTCACTCTCAGAGATCCCCGTTGCTGATCTTTTCTGGCCATCTGATCTTGAGTATTGAGGGAAGACAGATGTTAATGAAGGTCTGAAGTTTGTTTGAGATACTCTTTATGACGCCCCAAGTCTCTGTTCCGTATAGTAGCACTGATTTCACATTGAAGTTGAAAATCCGGATCTTATTTTCCATGCTGAGCGCTGTTGACCTACACACAGACTTGATAGTAATGAAATCTTGCCTTGCTTTCCCGGTCCTCACTTTAATATCCTCGTCAGTTCCGCTTGTAGTTGAAACGATGCCTCCTAGGTAGGTAAAAGAGCTTGCTCCTTTCAGATTTCTCCCATTCATGCTGGCTGATTGTTGTCTGTTGTTGTTGCTGTTGCTTTTGGCCAGGAATCTTCATCACCTCTGTTTTGTCTATGTTCACTTGAAGTCCTACCTTCTTTGAATGCTTCTTCTGCCAACTTGTTGCTTTTCACTTGCATATCTTCCTGTTTGAGGGAAATCAGACATATATCATCGGCGAAGTCCAGATCCTCCAAGTTTTTCGTGAGGGTCCATTTTATAGCTGTTTCCTCGCTGTCCGTTTTCTGTTGCATCATCCAATTTGCCGCAATCAGGAAAATCATTGGCGATAGTAGACAGCCTTGCCTCACTCCCGTCCTCACTTCGAAGGCTCCCGTAAGTTTCCCGTTGTGGATTACTTGGCATGCAGCATTGTCGTATATCTGTTGGATGAGATGGATAATTGTCGGCGGCAACCCTTGGTGGTAATGAAGTAGTTGCCAAATGAGCACTCGGTCGACGCTGTCGAAGGCCTTTTCCAAGTCGATGAAGTTGAGATAGAGAGGTGACTATCATTCCAAGGTTTGTTCAGTGATGTTCTGGACGTTTCCGCCGTAATTTTGAATTCACTATCGTTATCATTCTGTACATCTATATTCAGTACATCAGCCATTCAGAGTGGATAGTTTTTTGATTATTTTACATGTTTTAACCCTCATGGGAAAAATGAGTGATTGTATAATTTGTCGTAATTTGGCCGTCATAGATATATGAAATACTCTTATACTGACATTTTAGAATAGCACCTACAGGCACACAGTGTCACCCTCTATTGGATCACACTTAAATAGTTATATTGTATATAGCTTCATAAGCGGTGTCTCAGATAGAACAGTCTAAATGATAAGTCAGTAGTATGAATATTTGGGTTATGTGTCGGTTTGTACTAGTACTATTGAGTAAGGGTGGGATTTATCCTATTCAGCAACGAGAATCTCTGGCTAGGAACGAACAAAGAATCTGTTTTTCAACGAAAGTGCTATGAAATGTAGATTCAGACTGAAGAGATGTTTCGAAGAACGTTGACTGACGTCGACAGCTAGGTAATTGGCAAATAGATCTTGTATGAGAAACAAAAATTTTGGTATCTTGAAGAAAACTGTTTCAAAAAGAGATGAGCATCCAAGATCACTATGGCTACTGATCAAGGCTGATTGAAGACAACACAATAAACTTGTGGGAATAATTTTTGAGAGTAGTTTAATAGCAAAAGGCAATACACGGAAGCCCAAGTATATTTCCAATTTATCAAACCGCTATAAAATATATATATATATATATATATATATATATATATACATTCTTTAACCAATCATTGCGAGTGTGATTCTGGTTTACACTAAATGGCATGAGATGCAATGTTCAAATATATAAGGTATTCTGTTGACAACGCACTATTGAACTGTGTGTATATGTGAGAACAATATTCCGTTGGAACCCACTGTTTGTATTGCACCATCACAGTGGTAAATACACTAAGTTTTCATGAAAAGATACCACGAAAATCTTCTGAAGTCCAACATTTTCAATCCTTTCACATCACTCATTGCAAAAATAACAGAATTCATCAGGTGTAACGGTACATGGGACACTTATGTTTGAAAGAAGTTACAGAGGCACTTGAAGAACTTGTCTCACGTGTCATACTAAATCCGAAAACTGATTAACAATTTTGAATGCAATCTTACCACATTTCGCACCATATTAAGTGACGCTTTATATTATCCTACCGGAACCATAGTTATGCACTCCTTTCCAACACCTATACATCTTATGAATTGTTGTGTATATGACAATGATTGTTTGGTCACTTGATATTTAACCATGATTATAATCGTACATATTTTGGCTGCATTTCATTTTATGAATATTTCATCTATTACAAACCTTTGATTCAGTTTCCTAACTGGATACGATTTATTTAAGATAATCTTTTCTGTGTACATATTTAGGATTACACAGCTTGAAAACAAATACCTTCAAAAGAGTCTCTTCATTGAGTAGTGTTTTTCTTGTTATAATGTAAATATTCAAATGATGTCATGAGTATATTTCCAACTTAAAAAACATTGGAGACTCCTGAGCCTTACGTTTTCTACTGAATGCGACTGAACGAAAAGTCGAAGCGATTCAAGTTTATAAATATTTATTCATCGCAAATTACATACCATAAACAGAGTGAAAATAGCAATGGCATTATCCCTGATTTGAATTATTTTGCTTAAATTTATAAAAAGGAGCATACATTGCAGCAAACATTATGATCATTTCCAACCACAAACAGAATGCTCGAAATATTATTGTGCAGTAGACATCTCTAAATGCAATGCAAAATCGTAGTCTATTCACTGTCAGGAAAATAGCCTATAACGTGAGAATATCAGGGAATATCAGATTAGTTATCAGTTTTTGTTAAAACAAGATTATTTATATTATAATATAATTTAGCCATTCACAAGTATTTCACCATGTGAACTACTTGATACACACATGATAAAAGTTAAGTGAAAGTACATCTTTCTGGAAATGCTTCCATCACTATCTGAGATGCAATATAAAAGTGACAACCAAATGATGAATATACTCAAATCATCCATTTCCTTCACTCAAATAGTCATGGGTTGAGTTCAGAAATCAACAGCCAACCTAATGCTGAATTCATGTTGACAACATCAGATTCTAACTCAGTCTTATTTGAACAGCATATTGTTATTCAGAAATGTCACGATAAAACGAAGGGCTTGTGAATAAATTTTGATCTTTACTGCATATTTGGTGTGTTCAGAAAACAAGAATGAGTTGAATTCTATTCGAATCATAGACTTTACTGACCTTAATTAAGTGCAAATTGATAAATATGTGTGACTTCATTCATTGGGCTCATTGCATTTGCACGTTAATATTATAGAACGAAACTTACTAACAACATGGCGAGTGTGAAACAAACCCCGACAGAAATCTTCAGTGCCTTCTGAAAATATGGAAGTAAAATGGAATAAATTGTTAAATTAAACAGATCAAAGTCTAAGGTTTTCTTGTCTTCACTCTGATTTGAGAAATGTCTGATGAATTAACCCTGAAAACATGGCTGTGACTAATACACTCAACAAATATGCATTGAAATTTATTCGGTCATGAACTACTTTGCAAAGAAATTCAGCTCAAACAACAATTCATAACCATAATTTGGTGTGTTTCACATATTTCAGTAAGGCTAACTTTGCGGTACATTATGAGATGTCTGGTAGAAAACCGTAATCGATGACCATAATAGGCACAAACATGTCTCAGTAATTAGCGTGACTATCGTCACGTAATGTGAACTGTTATACTATAGGATAGAAATGTAGTTTCATCGTCTAACAGATTACAAACAGTAATCGGACGATAATGCATATCAGTGCTGCATTCGTCAATTTCGAATTACTTGACTTTCTGTGAGATATTTCGTTACATTCATTTGCTGTCACTAAGGTAGAACCACATTCCATAGAAACGTCATAAAGCAAGTAAGGCATTCATTAAGATATGATACAGCTCACTTGTTTGACTGTTACCTGTTTTCCATCTGATGTGAATTCAATAATGAACAAAATAAGTCCAGTCAGGACCGAAGCATATAAAAGTGAGAAAAGTGTAATGGTAATTCGAAAATCTAACTGTCTGAAGTATAGAGCCAGAAGAATCACAACTGCAGTCAATGCAACTGTTGAACCAAGCGCTGCTAAAGCAGGAACCAAATCGATATTATACAACCTGGCGGCAAAACCCATTGAACATAGTGCGAACTAAAATGAAAAAGGTATTATATTGGTCAATTATAACAATGAAGTATACAAAGATGGGAAACACATTTGTTTTTTGTGTATATCCTACTGAGAAATCTTGGTTTTCGCCTGAATTATCAGATACGCTTTTTATTTACACACTCGACTTCTCTTTGTTCTAACTAAAATGCTCACCACCTGGGTACAGGATAAACGTTTTGCTCAGCGAAAAAAATTCTTCCTAATGACTTCGTTTTTCGGCTGCACGGAAAAATTTCTTTCACTGGAAAAATAGCATTAGGTGCCACTAGAAACTGCTCAGTCAGTATGTAAATGGTAAGAATTAAAATGCTGCATTAAGGAGGTAGAACTCAAGTGTATGTATCACACTAATTTTAAATATTATCGAATAAGTGAATTTGTATTACCATTTTACAAGAAGTTCAAGTGTTGTCTAAAACTCAAGAGTCTGATAATGATAACAGTGAGCAAGGCGGAGACGAAGTAAAGTGAAATGAATTAAAGTAGTAAAATAAAATAAGATAATAGAACATTCTATGAAGTGAAATGTGTTTAACACATTTTGAGGAACATAATATAGGCTGCCGTCCACGGTTAGCTAGAACTTCGGCTGTGCACACGTGGAGGGAAAGTAGGCTTTTTAAATGGTTGTATCTGGAAATAACTACGAAAGATAAACAACATGGAGCTGAGAGACATGAGTCCGTAAGTTGTTCAAAAGTTCCAAAATTTATCATCCCATTTTTACCTTTTATTAACCGAAACGAGAAGTGTTCAGCTACGTGTCTATTCAGAGCACTCTTGCAACGTCCAGTGTAATAGCTCCACAAAAGAGAATATGTTAATATGGGTGTGTAAAAGTGGTCGTCTATCTTTGACGATTTTTCGAAACCTAGCAAACTGTTGAATTCAGTGAGGTGCCTTGTAGTGGTTGGCTTTCTGTAAATTTCATCTATCTAGTTTGACACCTAAGAAATGAACTGTGGAACTCAATTATTCGTCCGTAGTAACATGCATATGTGTTACGCAATGAAGCAGAGTGGATTTCACTGTTTAAATGTTGATTTACGGACTGCACAAGTAAAAATCAAGTCATGTGACAAAATTGTATTTCTTCACGGAGTAAAACCGTGTTTTTCCTCACAATTAGCTGATAATACGTGTAATTGGGGCAATCTGATTATGAATCATGAACAGCATTCTACACGTCATGCAGTAAATAATAATTTCTCACTTAGTGATATATCCAATAAACCAATATATGATTTTAGTCAAAGGTATATGACTTTTGTTTGTGACCCATCAACAGAAATAAAACCAAAGGAATAAAACACTTACACTGAATACTATGAAAAAGTGATCAATATCGCGGCGGTATCCAAGTAGTTTGAGTAATGCGAGAATGAGGACCGGAATTGCTCCAAGTGATCTGGAATGAGTAATTTTCGTAGATGGGTTAATGAACGCGGTGTCTGCTGTGTCCTATTTTAAATTTAGCATAAAATTATTCAAAGAGTGGTATATCTCTGTTGGATGTTGCCCGGACAACCATTCAAACAGAAGTTTGTCATATTTTCAAAATTTTTTATTCAGAAATCGAATAGTGTGGCTCTGTTGCAATTTCATGGATTCACATCCATGAATGATATCGGACGTACGAAAAGTGGATGCGAATTCAACCACATCAATGAATTTTAGAATATTCACATATTCTTTGATGCAAATACTTCCTGCAATCAACATGCAGACAGGTAATAAAGTCAGTTCAAACAAAGCAAATGTCTGGAAGGAGAATTTTTTCATAGAATCTATTGCTGACGGACTGGTGAGCCATGAAACCTACGATGAAAAGCCAACGAAATGTACAGAACCAACATAGACATATTTGATGGAAACATTATAAAACTGACTTACATAAGGAGAACTGTCAGCCAGCTGTGCTCTTGAATCCAATCAGAAAGTCCTGCACTGCACCAAGAGTTGAATTATTCTATCAAAGTGATAATGAAATTTGGTCTTACATTGTGTTCACCATTACAACCATAGTCGCTGTCACTAGAAGCATTAACAGCGTATCGATTATCATCTGTATGAGACACATTTAGCTAAAGACGGTAACTTCTCACCCATATGAAGAAGTGGAAAAGGCTACCTGGCCTTAGGCCTATGCTTGAATGTTTCAAACGTGGGAATTTCACAGTTTGATTTGACATTTTAAGATCTATGAAATGATAAAGAAAGCAAAATATTTAGAAAGTGAAATCAATGTCAAAATGATATTCTGTTTTCACATGGCAATCCGGAGCTGATATATACGTCTCTATTGCCTAATATCCATCACCTTTATTTGTTCTCAGTGTAAGTTGCGGGATAAGTGTGAGTAATCAATATTGTCATTTGGAGATTATACTCTTATATTATGAATTAAAATTATACTCTGGTCACTCAGATGGCAACCACGAGCACACTGATGGCGTGACTACAATGATTTCACTGATATTATGCGATGATTTAATGCAGTGGAGACTAATCTCCTCCAGAACAATAACAGCAAGATTCGACTCAAACGAAGGGAGTGCGCAGTTGTCCAGTTCTACTCATATGCAAAACGACTGATAAAAAAGAAAGAAAAAACTGACAGCTGCAAACGGAAACGGAAGATATACAAATGATGTCAGAAGCTTAGTGAAAGATATAAATTAACTCCAAGCTGAAAGCGTACAATGTAGGAAGAGAGCTTACCATATGCGAAGAAGATAAATGAATGACAATGGAGGAGGTGGTATAAATATCACCTAACAGACACACCAGAAAAACAGATAACATTAACCTCAATGGTATGAAGATGTAGTGTGCTTGCTACATATGCGAGAAGGCGAATAATTAAGATGCAGCTCATTCGCTAGTTCTAGGACCCATCAAGGACAAACTGAAAGCGTCTAGAACAACGACAGACATATCAAAATTAAATTAGGCATTATCAAGGTGAAAGATGAAACTACGTAGGATATTTCGGTCGTCGATATCGGACCTTATTGGGAGACACTACGTGGCATCACTGAGGAAACTTGCATAGGTGAACACTGGGGTTATCTGAAGATGATAATCTCGGAAATAATAGAGGAAGCAGGAAAGACAGGACTTCAAGCGAACACCGGAGAGATCGAGATTATGATGATAACGAATCAACGAAACCAGCACAAATCAATACAAATGATGGATATCTGGAGTCCATCACTTCACGCGTATCAAGATAGCACAATCTCAACTAGAGGCAGAATGGGTGGAGATTTCAAAACCAGTCTTCATCAGGAAATCAGGCGCAGCTGTGTCAATCTGAAATAATTGTAGGAATCTTTGGAACTTTGCATGCAGAACGAAATAAGAATTTCTGACGCCAATGTTAAGTCATCCAGTTCTTCCATATGGGGACGATTGGTGGCTAGTGCGTCACAAGAAAGACTTCCAACAGACTTCTGCATACGTCTATCGGTGGCACAGTGGTTAGGACTCTCGCCGACCATGCGTATGGTCCGAGGTTCGATCCCCTTCCGATGCACACCTGATATCTATGGTCGGCCTGCAAAATTTGAGCTACCGATATCCATGCTGAGAATTCCATACTTGTACCGAAAATACAGGGTGGAATTAAGCTGTAATCGAAAATAAAAAAATAACAACGGAATTCATCCCATATTGAAGGTACGAATAAGAAGGAAGAAGTCATGCAAAAAACAAACCGAGAATCCGTTGCTCAACAACATGCTGAAATAAGGGATTTGGTTTGAATACACATGAAGGAGACCATGGAATCTCGTAACGCTGAGCAACTGATTGAGTGGGATCTGAATAAGAAACGATGAGTCAGCGTTCGAAGGTGACATGCTGGAAAATTAAAGGGGAGGTAACGAAAAAGTGTCAGCCATCATGATGTCAGCTTAGGAAGACGACAACAAATATGAGAAATTGAAGATGGACTACTGAGAAACTGTTTCGCATTTGGAACTTGAGAGAGAACAATAATATTTAATAATATAATTACCGCTATTTAGATAAAGACGTAAAGAGCTACTGACCTTCATCAACGGCTAACTTTGCTCAATACTCAAGAACAGATGGCCAGAAAAGATCAGCAACAGGGATCTCTGGGAGCGAACCAACCATGGATCGATTACGCAACAAGTAAGCTGGAAGAAATGGAGACAGATTGGCTATACCCTGGGGCAACCATCAAGTGACATCACTAGACAAGCCCTCAAGTGGAACTCGAAATGGAAGTAGCGAGTGGAGCCAGGTGAAAACTCTAGTTGAGAACCCAACGGGATGGAGACGCCTAATATTCTTTTAGGAATTAAAGGGAATAATAATATAATTCAGATAAAGGCTTATTTTTGAGACAGGCTGACTGCTGAGTAGTGGGAGATCCAGTCACTTCTCAACAAGCATTTCACTCGTTTCTGGCAGCTGTATTGAATTCCAAAAAATTTATGTTAGGCTCATCGAGTGGAATGATACTCTATTAATTCTGACAGCACCACGTTTGTGTCCTGCAATGTAGATGAAAGAAGTTGTTCTTGCAATTAAGTTGATATCCTTCACGAATTATGCACAGCCCTAGATGCTATAACTACTCTAATAGAGTATTAAAACAAAATTCATTGTGTGGTTGTATGTACAACGCAATGTGTGTAATTGTTTGAGTATTTTAGCTTCTATTCTATGAGTTGTTCTTGTGGCGAACAGATAAGTGGTTTGCCTAAGGACACATTACTTCATTCAGAGGAGAACCCGGTGGTTCAGCATCATTGATATTTTGTCATAGCAAAAGTAACTTTTCTTCCAGATCTCCCTGGATGTTACTGAATAGAAAACTGAGGCATAACTAAGCTTTTATACTGTTGCTGACTGAGATTATCTTAAAAAATCATGCTACTTCATATTTCATTGAACAACCTATTCAATATGTATGCACCATATTCAGTTTTCAAGTATCCTGTTTCATCAGACGTTTCACTGCTCAGTCATTTGTATTCCATTATAAGTTGTTTGTGCATATAGGATGTTTAATGAAAAAATCTGGTCTCCTGCACGATGAAAAGTGTATCAATCATGTTTCAGTTCAGAATATACCACATTTATCATCGCCGTTCGTGGACATTACAATGCAGAGAATGTGAACAGATCACACAGTTGTATACAAATATATTACAGGCATTACATATCAAGATTTCGAAGACGCAAATTTCATTCAGTATATAATGAAACTGACAAAAAAATTGTCGCTCACCACTTACTTATCTCCGTTTCAATCTTCTTATTCTAATGAACCAACGAATCAATGAACATTTATATAGTCTTGTTTCATTATTATTTTGTTTTCGATTTGTTAGTCGAAAATAACTGAACCTTGATCCTGCCAGAGAGTTACATAAAATTTATTTTATTTTCATGGTCGATACGAGAGTTTTAAATGCGACTTTCATGAGATATACTTAACGATTGATTGTTTTTATATTGAACTTACTCTACTTACAAAACGGAGAAGAGTTGACGGTGTTAGTCTTATTTAGACTATAAGATTGTTACTTATCTTTATTATTATTGCTCCCTTGGGTTCCTAGCGGACCATACGGCTTCAACTGCACGTCTCTACTTGCTTCTGTCTTATGCTGTACTTTTCACCTGCATCCATGTTAGTCCATACTGTCTCAACTCATCTTCACATGATCTCCTCCATGTCACCCTTCCACTGACGTCCCACTCGCCGCTTACCTTTCGGGTTCCACTCGAGGGCTTGACGCGCGATGTCACCCAGCGGTCTCCCCAGCGAGTGTCCAATCCATCTCCACTCTCTTCTGAATATTTATTGTGCGATTACTTAGTTCTTGTTTTGTTTGTTCCCATAGTTCCTTATTGGTGATTCTTTCCGGCCATCTGATATTCAGTATAGAGTGAAGACAGCTGTTAATAAAGGTCTGCAACCGGCTGTTGGAAACATTCTTTGTGACCCGCCCACCAAGTTTCTGATCCGTATAGAAGAAGTGACTTTACGTTTGTATTGAAAATCCCAATTTTGTTGTGGATGCTGAGTGAGGAAGATTTCCAGATTGGTTTCAGGTTGTTGAATGTGTTTCTCGCCTTCCCGATCCTCACCCGATTTCATATCCTCGTCCGTTCCTCCCGTAGTTGAGACAATGCTCCCTAGATAAGTGAATGAAGTAACCTCTTTCAAATCCCTCCCGTTGATGGTGATTGACGTTAGATGTTGTTGCTGTTGTTGGTTGGTTATTTTCATAACCTCCGTCTTGTCTATGTTTACTTGGAGTCCTGTCTCTGCCGGCTGCTTCTTTGACCAGTTTGTCGGTTTTCGCTTGTAAGTCTTCGATTTTGTGTGACCTAAAACGTAAATCCTCAATGTGCGAAATCCAAGTCTTTTAGGTTCTTCACGTCGGTGCAGGATATCCCTGTCTTCTCGTTTCCCACTCATTGTCTGACGCATAATCCAGTCAATCCACCACAATTAGGAATATCATTGGTGATAATAGGCAGGCACCCTTGTCTGACTCCTGTGTTTACTGTAAACGCCTCGCTGAGTTTTCCAATGTGGATCACTAGACATGCGCCATTGTCGTACAGCTGTTAATAAGGTGGATGAATATTTGTGGAACGCCATAGTACTCGAGTAATTTCCAAATTACTTCACGGTCAATGCTGTCGAAGGCCTTCCCGAAGTCTATAAAGTTGAGGTAGATGTTTGATTGCGATTGCATGATTTGTTCGGTGATGATGATGCGTAGAGTTGCAATTTGGTCAGTATATGATTTTTCTTTCCTGAATCCAGCTTGTTCTGGCGGGGCAGAGTTCTGCATTCAGTGCGTCCTTTAATCTCTCCAGGATGATTCGACTCAGGATTTTACTTGGCGTTGACAGGAGCATGATTCATCTCCAGTTATTGCAGAGTGAGGCGTAAGTCGCCCTTCTTTGGTAGTTTCACGAGGTAACCTTTCCTCCAGTCAGTAGGCACCTTTCCCTCCTTCCAGACCTTTTGCAATAATGGAGCCAGCATGTCTGCTGTAGTCTCTGGGTCCGCTTTCAGTGCTTCAGGAGGTATTCCATCTGGTACGGCTGCTTTTTCAGCTTTCAGAAGCTTGATTGCATTCGCATTTATTACTTGCATCACTTTTATTTCCAAAATAATTTTAGTATCACTTGAAGCTTATAATTTAAGAGTATAAAACACGGTGGGTTGCGATATACTAGTTTCTGCAAATAATGTTTGAGAGATCTATTGTCAAGACACTGCTGACTATGATCACTAAACATATTGCAAGTCACCGCTAGATTTCGTTGTAACAGTTCATGTAAAAGTTGTCGATTGAGCATCATTAGTGCGGTTTGTTAAGCTATCCTGTCGGCAGTTTATTATTAATGCACATGATATATCGAAAATTTGGAAAATACGGAAAAATTCAACTACAATCAGCTCAAAATATTCACTATTCCTTCCCAACATGAAATAATGATATGTCTGGAATCTACAGCCGTGTAGATAAACTCATATCAATCATGACTCAACATTACATGGGAGTATTAATCAGGATTAAGGAATACATCAGCAGAATCCTGCATATTGTTTTGAAAAAATCGGTGACACAATATTGGAATTATAACAACAGGTATGTTGGAGGTCTAACGTTCTGTTTCATTGTATGTTTCGTTGTTACAACGTCAACATCTACCCTCGATATATGTATATAGTTGACATTTATCAAGTGAAAGGGAGTAGATGATGTCACGTCTAAACTGAAGTAGTAAATGAAATTTCCGAAAAATTTTAGTAATTTGATGGTAATCTGAAGTTCATCTGTTGCGATTCGTTCTGTGTAAACAATAACTCAGATGATTATCCAAGTATGCAAAAGCATTGAAGATTCCTACTTGAAGCACATCATTTACTACACATTATGATGATTCACTCAAAGCAGGTGTCCCACTGCCACACTGAATGAATCGGAAGAATCAATAAGAGTCTCAGCCTGATAATCCTTATCACCCCTGAAATGTGAATGGGTTTATGTAAAGTAGAATTCCACGCATTTTTAAGATGTTAAATATTTAGCATCATATCATCACTTTACACTTTGTTATGTATAATAATAAGTTTTTCTACTGATGACCATCATGAGTGATATTGTTCTGGACAACATGAAATGTGTCAAGGGACAAAACATTTGAAAAGCTTATTCATGGAATAAAATACCTGGGCCTACTTTTGCAAGCGAATGTCTTTAAAAGTCAGGCATATTACTTTACTATTCACAATATAATAAATAGTCCCATAGTAAAATTTAGAACAACACATTTAAGCGAACAATATTGTTTTCAATTAGATCTCATCAGGCTTAACTCTTTTATATATTAGTTTACAAATAAAAATTCAAATATAAACCAATCATGGTGCTTTGTCTATAGGATAATACGATGGTGAATATAAATTATGCAATTAGTTATAATGGTGGTAATGATAATATTAATAATAGTAATAACAATAATGATGGTCTTATCAATAATAAGGATGAAAAAATGAGGCAATCTGTGATAACACGAATAATGAAAAACAGTATGATTAAACAAACAACAAGTGGAAGTAGTCGATAAAGGCTAGTAAAACAAATGAACAGATTACGTAATGTTAGATTGTAAGGGAGGAAAATGAAGCACGTTTATAATGAAGATAAGATTAAGGGATGATAAGAAAGGGGTTGGAAATATAAATAAGGGGTGGTGTAGAAGTCTTTAGTTGTTTATGTCTTTATGCTTATATTTGAATTTTTATTTGTAAACTTATACATATTAGAGATAAGCCTGATGAGATCTAATTGAAAACGATATTGTTCGCTTAAATGTGTTATTCACAATATGACATATACTGAAACCAAGTAAATCATTTTTACGTGTGTAATGGTGTGGATAACAATGATTTCAACATTATGCAAGTCTCCATATTAATGCTTTTTTCTACAAATATAGGCACTGAGAAGACTCTATAATTCATTATATTTACCACTTGTGTTCACGTTATTTATCTGAGTTAAGTTATTAGCATACGGCATCTGACAACAATTACTTATTATTGAAGCAAGTTTACTTGTCAGTAAGCATTATTACGTTGTCAATCTCGGACCATACCTCCGTTGAAAGAAACAGTGTTATGATGATAAATTAATGTCACTTCTTAGTAAAAGATTCTGATGCTTCAGGCAAAATTTGATTCATACAATTTGTCATTTGATTTAACTTGCAGGATTTGATACTTTCTTTCTCAATTTACTGTGTGAATTTGCTGTGGTGGTGTTTATTCTTGTGGAGGAAATTCAAGATTGTTTTCCAATTAATTAGGCCTTCGAAGCACTTAGTGTAAATTTGACATTGGTAACAATCCTAAATTAGTATGATATATTTTCCGAGATAATATGCGTAACGCGAGCGCCCCCTCCTCTGTATATGAGCCATACTATTTCACTCATGAACACAAAAATATGGTCATTTGTGAATCATTAAAAGGCAGAAAGCAAAATGGAGTTGGAAGATTCCATGATTTCCCTTCTAACACACAGAAAATCGTGAATCTCTCTGAGGAAATATCGTAATAATGTCACAATTAAAACCTTTTCTTTACAGATTACAGATTTTGCTTGAGTCTGGTGAGCTACCTGCTCTGAATGTATCCTAAGAATGATGGATACTTTTAGCATGGATTTTCGCGGTATCTGTAGCTGTGCTGATAATCAATATTGAATACAATATTGACAGGTGCAGAAAGAAAATAACCATCATACTGCTAAACACGTCTGGATAAATAGGGCTGTTAGCTGTTAATTTTTATCAGACTCTTTGAGTTTTCTGATTTTGGAATATTATTCATAGCGTCTTCTACATAGTTTATAATGTTCAATATTTTGTATCTTCTTGTGTATCTTCTTATGGATGGCACACACTCAAGAGTTGATTGATTGTATCATAATAGGCAGATTTACTTCGAGTTCAACTGCAGAGAGAAACACAAATGTGTTTGCTAGCAGGTGTGATTTTTAGGTGAATGTAACAATGTCCAAGTAAGAAAACCTTAATTCAAAATTCCAAGTGTTCTGCTTCTGTTATCTTCATTTTGGACTTTCTTTCTGTAAAAATTGTGAACATCATTTCACTTGTTTTCAGCCTTATGTTTCCCCCTGAAATTTAAGAGTTTCGCCGACCTCGTGAAATAGGCTACTTACTCTAAATACTATATTCGACATAACTAACTCTGGTAGCCTATCAATCACTGTTAATTTCAGTTATACAATATGAACAGTGAGTGATTTGGAGAACCAGTTTCACTCTCACCCTGTCCTAAGTGATGAATGGATTCTACTTATTGTTATTGCGGTTTAATTACTTTCTTTGAAGGCCAGCGGATAAGATTTTATTTTAATAAATCACACAGGGTTATACAGTTATGTCAACTGATGACGTTTCGATCACAAACTATTGCTATTGATATAATTATGAGCAACAGTTTGTGCTCGAAACGTCATCAGTTGACATAACTGTATAACCTTTTGTTATTTATTAAATTAAAATCTTATCTATAATGCAGTAATACTCTACCACAATGTCCAAGCAATATACTTTTATTGATGCGTGTTGTTTGAACATGTAGAGTGAAAATAGAGAAGACAGAGGTAATGATGTTTCCTGCCCGATAGTAAGGGCAACAACAACAGAGAACACTGGCCAGTATAAATATGAGAAATGTGAAAGCAGCAACCTCCTTCACCTTCACACCTGGTGAGCATCATTTCAACTACAGGTGGAACTGACGACGACATCAAGGCGGGGATCGAGAAACCAAGGCAAGTCTTCATTTCTCTCAAGTCTGTGTGGAGGTCAACAACAACCAGTATGAAATGAGATTAAGATCCGGATTTTCGACTCTTGAAATCAGTGCTACTTTACACAGAAGAGACCTGATATCTCATGAAGAGCACGTCAAACAAACTACAAGCTTTCATCAAAAGCTGTCTTCCCTGATTAGTCAAGAGTGGATGGCCAGAAAAGATCAGCAACAGGAATCGTTGAGAGCGAACCAACCAGAAACCGTTTGTCCAACAAATACGCCAGAATTCATGGAGGTGGATTGGTCATACTTTGAGAAAACCACCTTATGATATCACGAGACAGGCTCTTGAGTGGAGCCCGAACGGGAAGTGATGAGTTGTTCGTGATTGTGAGGGTGACATGAAGGAGGTCATGTGAAGAGGAGATGAAGGCATGTGCGCAGAAGTCGATCCAGGTGAAAACGTTGGCAAATACTTGAACTCAATGCGGACGTGTGGTTGAAGCCCTATGACCCTATGAGAACTAAAGGAAACAATCATAATAAATTATGAACATACCTCAAAGGTAGTTCAGTGAACAAAAGAATCCAGCAGAGTTTGAAAAAAAAGTATCCAAGTTTGATCACGAACTCATTTCACTTAAAGAAACATTACAAACTAATGAAACTGTAAGACTCTTTCGTCCCCGTTTGGAGATACTTAGAGTTTACCATGTAGAGGATCCAATCAAAGATATTTGATTAATGGTACAACTTCTGATACATAGTATCGACTGAATTCATCACGATGCTGACTGGAATTGCAGTGATAAATCGTGATCTGTTGGTTATAACAAGTCAAATGTAGGCACAACAGTATCTGATAGTGTGGCTTTAAATCTCACAGTAAAAAACAATAACTTACAGGAAACCAGATTTCATCAGATTTTCGAATGTCTTTAAGCTCGTCTCAGAACAAGAGGGTCTTGGTTTGACTTCCGGTGGAGTTGTGGATATGTAAGGAGCCCCAAACTGGATCGAAACGAATGTTCAGTCACATTCCTGTAAACCGGAACTTAAAGTAATCCTCTTTCTCCGTTTTTGAAGACGATTTGGATGGCATTATCCGTCTCCTTTGATATATTTTATTGCTCTGTAGTATTTGCAGTATTATTTTTGTAGGCATTCAGACAACAGGTTTTAGTGTACTAAAATTTTAGGTATAATTTTGTCATCATTAGCATCGAAAGTTGTCCTTACGACCAAAATAAAGCGAATTTTTGATAAGGCTAACAACTCTACCATGTTAACGACTAAACTAATCAAGTGTTATTGAAAAGAGAAAATAGCTTAATTTCTGATATAATCTCAAAAGCTCCTTAATCGGAAAACGGATGACCGTGGCGGGGCAGGGGGTTAAGATGGTAGTCGGCTGGGCACTATTTAAGAGTCCCTCAACAGGAATATCAATTTAATTCTCTCGCTAGACAGTATAGGATTGGACGAATTTACCCCAAATGTAAATAGTGAGACAAACAATATTATCACTCAATGTTTGATCTTATGTGAGCTAAGAATTAAGAAAAAGTACACTTTCGTTATCTCTAGCTTTTTCTCTTTTCTTTTTTTAAGCCAATATCTCGTCATGATCAAGCAAAGTACTATTACTTGAAGTAGTTTGCACAATTAAATCGTTAAAAATAAATTTTTAATCTACCTTTTACCAAAATGTCTTCAGTTTGAAGTAGAACACTTTTTCGCATGCGTATGGATGAGGCGAAAATTCGTAGAAGATTTCTGTCTCCATTGTCAACTTATTTTATCGGTTTCTAAAGTCTTCCTGCGTTACTGGATTCATATTTTCTGCAAAGTCACGCCAATACAATATAAAGTATTCAATCTAGAGTAACTCAGAACATGTTTTCTTATTTTCACTGAAATTTCTCACTGAGAAATTTTATAATCATGTCCTGCAAGTTAAGTGAAACTGCGACAAAGATAAAATGGCTTTACATCGATGTATCTCAGGAAACCTTCGCCATCAAGTGTTCGTTCGTGCATTATTCGCCATCAGAAGACTTATGATCTAACTGAAATTTCTGTAAGTGATTTAACTCAGCAATCAATGTTCATTCGGAAATTTCCAGGGAAGAGGGACAGAAACGTCAAAATGATATAATTTACTTACATGCTTGTTATTTAACAGGTTGTGGGATATCAATGAATACATGTAATACGCTGATATCTCAAGAAAATTATGTTTCCTCAAACCACCGGTTTACTATTACTGAGAGCTATTTCAAAGTCAAATCACAGGAACAAACTGATGGATCAAATATATTTCAGAATATCAAAGGTCATCCTATGTTATTCATTCAACTAACTAGAAATCATGCACTAGTAGCTAAGCCTAACACAAAATCCTTCCAAAATAGCTAATATTACTGAGAGTGCTACATTCACCTTAACCAGTCGACCTAAACAGCGATGGTCACCACAAACTGCTTAATGATGAATGTCGTGAGCCTTTAACTTCGTAAATTGACTTTACCGATACATTAGACATTTGATTAGGATATAATCATTTATCGCTTCACAACAATTCAATTTTTAAATAAAGGAACATGGTCATAAACTAGGATGACAAACAGAAAGATGGATAGCACTACACAGATGATTTGCTTAAAAGTCTGTCCATATAATTGTCGGCATTCATATGTAACAAAATCCAAGCAACCATTTGAATGTCGCAAAGAATTCTTATCCTATCGTGAAACTAGTCGTATGCAATAAAACTGGAAGACCTCATTTAAAACCGGAGTATTGTATTCAAAAAGTGTAACATGTGAATTTTGTTACAACAATCTGAACTATGCACAGTTCGACACATCTATCACAAAAACACGTAAATTCCGATATCTGTTGGGAGAGAGGTCGTAATGTAGCCAAATGACATAAAACTCATTTAACAGCATCCATGATAACCAAAGCCGCCTACAAGAAAAAAAGCAGCATGTCAACGAGAATGTTCACAGCTTCAATCAGTTGAATAACTTTTGATCCTAACAAAAGTCGATCATAAAACTTTCTGAGGAAAGTGTAGGATGTTCTTGATGTGAAATATGATTCATTCCTGTTATAGTAACGCAGTCAGCGATATGTCATACTTATGTTTTTAGTATATATATATGGACCAGAGGAGATTCACTTAGAACGCCATCAGAGTAGGCTTGCTTTCTCTTTAACTGTTTGTATACTGATATTCCAAATAATACCCCCCTTGAGGCAGTTAGCAATTAAGTGAACATCGATCCTGAACTCACAAGTAGGAATAAGCTCTCGGTTGATGAACTAATATTATGTGTTCAGTTGTGTATAACCCCCGCGGCATACAAATATCAAATCAAATTATTCAAACGGAAGAATGTGGTGTTAAATGAACGATGAGTATCCCTAATATAAGCGTATTTTGTAATGGATAGTTGAGAACAGAAACCTATTAGGGCGTTTAATCCTGCTCCAAGATTGAGGTGGAGATTTGCGGATGCCACATTCACTGTGTCTGCCATTCTCTGCTGGTCCGCAGAGTTGCAGTTTGTTCAGCACATGATTTGCCTTACCGAAAAAACCTTTTCTGTATCCAATGCTTTTTTTCATTTTCTCCGGGATGACACGACTTAGTAGTTTACTTGATATACACAAGAGCGTTAATCCACACCAGTTCTTGTATAGGCCTAAGTAACCCTTTTTGGTAGGTTGACATGATAGCTTCTTTTCCAGTCGGTGTCACTTTTATTTCCTGCCAAACCGTTTGCAATAATGACATCTACCGTAGTCTCTGGGTCTCTTTTTCAGTGCTTTGAAAAACGTTCTGTCTATTCTTGCTGCCTTCACAGTTGGACCTTTGCATCTTGATTTCATTCAGGATTTCTTTCTTTGTTGGATTAGTGTCCACTGGCAGTTCTTTGCGTGCTGTTGTTAGTATTTGTGACTGATCCTCAGGTAGTGGTCTAATCAAGAGTTATATGAAGTGGTCAGACCATTGGTTTACTTGTATCAATTCCTTCGTAGTCAGCTTCCCTTACTTATATTTCATTGGTTTCATCTGCATCTGTGTCTTCTCGGATAGAGACTTGGTTATCTGATAAAATGTGTTGAGGTCTGTTTTGCCCGCAGCATTCCTGCTTTGCTTCATTTTCAGGCCAGTCGGTCGTAGAATTTTCTTTTGTGTTGCCTAGCACAATTGTTCACTTCTTTATTCAGTGCAGTAAACATTAAACTCAGCTTCGCTTTCTGTTATCAAACTTTACGTTGAGTCGTCTCCTGTGTTCACCATCTCTCTCTCTTCCAGTAGATTTCAGGTTTCGGTTGAGAGCCATCTCTCGATAATTAGCTACCTTTGAAATCTTCTACAGGTTTCATGAACGTAGTGCTTCTCACTTTACCGTGATATCTTCAGTGAATGCATCCTTTTAAGTTTTGATCACCGGTTTCCTAGTGCTGAACTTGAATTGTGATCTGTCTCAAGTTATTCAGATGGATTTCAATTTGACCTTGGAGGTTTCTAGAACTAGATGGTGATCTGAGCACAGATCTGCTCCCCTGCTCCACAGCAGAATGGATGTGTTTTCACTTCTTTGAGCAGTATTGAGATAAAATACATCTGGTTTGTGTTGTGTCCATCAGACAAGACTCACTTTGTTTTGCATATATCCTTATGTTGTTTCACACTGCCTAAAGTCACCGAATCACGGGACGCACATAAGTCTACGAACAGTTCTTCATTCTCATTCAATTCTCTGAGTCAGCGCCTCTCAACCCATGATGAGCACTCTTCCTGTATTCTCTGCTCCCAGTTCGGCTCGCATTCATTTCGCTCATAAGGATTCTGATGTCACTATTCGGCAAGTCGTCCATTATCCTTTGCCAATGTCTTTTAAAATCTTCCTTTTTCTCCTATTCCACGTCGTTTGTAGCATTCGAAAACTGTGACGTTCCTTCCTCCCTTTTGGGCTGAGTCGTGATGTCATGATTCTTGATTAAATTGGTTATCATTGCATTATGGATTTTGCGGCCACTGGCTACAGAGTGATAGCCACTCACTGTCTCATTGTAATCCTGGTCGTCGTCTGGTAGACGAGTAAATTACTTACTCTCCAGTTGGTCAAAATCAATTGCACTTGCTCTGGCAGATACTTGGCACTTCTATGCCATTTCTTCGCATTTCGTTGGATACCTGGACAGCCCTCTCAGCGTCGTACATTGTATGCTTATTCCAAATCCACTTTCTTATTCTTGCTTTCACAGAGACAGAGAGGACACATAGGCTGACTGGCTTATAAAAGGCTTTCGCCAGCCTGCTCTGTAATTTCGCCTTTACGATTTCAGCGAAAAATGATTGTTATATATATTTTTAATATTTTCTCGTAGCAGTTTGATTGGTTTTATAGTGTTAAGTTGCTGGGGCACACTCATCCCTACCTTTTTACCAGAATTTCGCGCAGGCTCGAAAAATAGTGAGCAAATAAACTAGGAGATGTTAGATAAATCTATTTTAAACATCGCACAGTATTGCAGGATTCGTACCTGGATGACGTTTTGAGCATTATGCTTCATAATCATATCAATTTATTCACACAGTTTCATATGTTAAGTTGTACCAACTAGGGGAAGTTGGAGAGGGAAAAAAAGAGAACATTTCTTGGAGAGGAACTGTGAAATCATGTGACTAATTTGACATGATTATGAATGATAATATGTGCTGAACACGTTTCCCTATTTAAAATAAACCAATCTAATATTGAACGATGTTTAAAGTGTGATGGCACTGATTTAGCGGTGGGAAATGTTCGAAATTTGTTGATGTTTGTTTTCATATTAAGCAAACTGAAGCTAATCTCAACTCACCGCACATACAGCAGTATTCCAGATGCCACCTGCTAATGCACGCCAAATTTTCTAAAATGTATTAGTATAACTGAAATTTACTGTTCTTATCAATCGGTATCTGAAAACAATTAATTATCTAAGTTCATATGTATTTTAAGTCAACATTATTAGTTGGCAAGGCCACTGAAGCTGAACTAATGATTTAGTCTAGAATAGGATAGGAAATTCTTGTTGGAATGATGGAGGAAGGACTAGAAAAATGGCCATTTATATATCACCCCATCAGGAATATCTTTCACCGCACTATTTTCCGAATTATAATATCTTCTATATGTATTTTTGTTTCTGAAGGGGGGAATCGAGCAAGCCACATGACTATGAGGACGTCGATAACCCTAATTCATAAAATATTTCGATAAGAAAGAAAACTTTACCAGAAGAAAAATTCTTCTACAAAACTAAAGTCAACAGTGCCATGATTATTCTGTTATTATTATCCCCTCGCGCTTCGAGTGGAATATAGGGCTTCAACTGCCCTCCCATCCACTTAGTTCCGTTTTCTGCCATCCTCTTTACTTGGGTCGATGATTGATCAAACTCTCTTATCTCTTCTTCACGTGATCTTCTACACGTCATCCTTAGACGATTCAGTGATCGCTTGCCATTACGAATCCACTCGAGGGCCTGGCATGCGATGTCATACGGCGGCCTCCTCGATGTTTGCCCAATCAATCCATCTTCACTTTCTTGCACATATTCGTTGAGCGATACGCTCTTAGTTGGTTGGTTCCCATAGTTTTTTGTTGCATATATTTTCTGACAATATGATCCTCATTATGCAGCCACAGAAGGCCGCTGTTGATCAAAGTCTACAACCTGTTACAAATCTTTTCCGTGACATGCATTGCAAGTTTCTCACCCACGTAGAAGATCCGACTTAATATTAGTGTTAGAAAATCTAATCTTGCTTCTTAAACTGAGTGTGGAAGATTTTCAGTGTGGTTTTAGGTTGATGAAGGCGTATCTCGCCCTGCCTGTCTTGAATTTGAAATCTTTGGTACCTTCTACCTGTAGTTGAAACTATGCTTTCCAAACAAGTGAAGGAAGTAACCTCTGTTAAATATCTCATGTTAATGGCGATTGATGCTGGCTGTTGCTGCTGTTGGTAGGTGATCTTCATCACCTCCGTCTACTCTGTGTTCACATGGAGTGCTTTGCCCAATGACTGCCTCTTGAGTCATTTTGTTGGTTCTCGCTTGCAAGTCCCCGAGTTTGTGTGAAATTAGACATATATCATCTGCGAAATGCAGATCTTCTAGAGTCGTCTTATCGGTGGTCCAGAGTATTGCTGCCTCCTCGCACCTAACATTCTGATGCATAAACCAATCCACCACAATTAGGAAAATCACCGGTGATAATAGGCCGCCTAATAGTACTATGGTATGTTAATATATATATATATATATATATATATATATATATATATATATGAATCCAAACGAAAGATGTGTACACTGCTTTTATCGATAATCATTCAAGCCAAAACACTGTGTTTGTTGCTCAATTTATAGATTATTCGAACTAATCTAGAGGTTTCTGATGTATGCACCATTCAAGCTTCTCTGCTTTTGATAGTTTATGCCTCAAGGTTGAACTTGTTTCTTATTACAGCTCGATTTCACACTGTATTTTTGGTACAGGCATGGAATTTTCAGCATGTGATATCGGTAGCCCAAATTTTGCAGGCCGACTATAGATATCAGGTGTGCGTCGGCAGGGGATCGAACCCCGGACCATCTGCATGGTCGGCGAGAGTCCTAACCACTGTGTCACCGACGCTCAGCGGATTTCTTCTTTTCTTGATAAATTTATATTCAGATGAACACAAGAATATATGTAGGGATTCATGTCACACTGGACTGTTTAAATGCACTCACGTGATGCATGCTTAAGAAGTACAATATTGCGCCTGTTATACAACACACCACAGCTAGAACTACCATTACAACAATCACTTGTTCTTTGGACCTTCTGTTCAAGCTGATTAAGATGATTGTTATGAAATCTTCGAAAGCACAGAAGCCAATTAATACTTGACAGTTTAATTAATCCCCATTCTGAGCAACACACCACACAGATGCTCACGGTGCACAAGGAAATCTAACAACAAACCAAATTAAAGATGTTTACATGAACAGCAGAAATTAGATTAGATACATTAAATGCACAGAAAATATTCTGGAGAAATTTATGTATAAAATAGCAAGAGGTAACATTTTTCACTCAGATGTTTAAACTGACATTTAGATGAAATAAAATGCCAAAGCTTGTCTTATAATGGCATATATTTTGGTTGAGTATTTTCCTAGTGCAGTACACTGGCATCAGAACAATAAATTCCAGTCACCTTTCATTTTAGGTGCTTTGCGGTTGGCTTCAGGTAAACCCGCACCTGGTCGTTGCCCCTATAATCATGATATGACTGAAACCTGGGAAGCAACTAGGTTCACTAGGACATTCTAAATCTTTTTCCCCCGCTGTAGCAAACAGCGTTTCAGTTAACACAGCTCCATAATAAATTGGTGACATAGATCATAACCTGCTGCTTAAAGCTATAATTTCCATGCACATCTATGCGTAAGGACTTTTCTTAGGTAGCTTCATCAGAATGAAGTATCTTCACTCAATTCGATCTCTTCATCATATTCGCGTACCCATTTTTGCTTTCTTAACTTATAAAAAGAAAGTTTTGGACTTCCGAGTGAATCGTACTATCGACAACTGATGAATAGCACTGAATAAATTTAGATTATAATAGTGAGGCTGGTCAAAAAAACTTACAATGAGCGCCATAAGGATCAATGGCACTGAGAATGTATTCCTCAATATGAGGAATAATAGGAGGAATAGGAGGATGACTCCTCTAAAATATGAATAGAAAGAAGACCATATTGATACTTGAAATGGTTACAGAGTAATACAATTATCGTTTTCATTTGTTTAGATTGCAAGTGAAATGTTGAGCTCCAAGCACGGAGCTTTCAATCTTAAGTTGCTTTGTCATGGAGTAAATTTACTAGCCTTTCACTCAACTTTGTTTCTTAACTGGATTCCCTACGAGCTTAAAGGATTTAGGAGTCGATAGGACATTTTTCCGATACTCGACTCAGTATTTGTGGTTAGCGAGCATTCTAACACGCTGTTTTAAAGTATCACACAGTCTTATCGATATGGGTGAATACAAAAGCAGACAATGACACTGTATTATGTACTAATGATAATTCAGGCGGACTTTATTGTCCACATCGCGCAGTAGTGTATGTTAAAAAGCAGGCACTTTAATAATACATATTCGTCTGATCCAACAACTAGATTTTCGATTCACTTGTTATCCACCTTGATTCAAATCACGGAAAATAATAAGGTTGTGCGTAAGTCTAGCAAAATTATGGCGCGAACTCCCTTTGCAGGATAACTACAGAAAGACCTAAATATTGATGGACTACATAAACGTTTGACTGGAAGATGACAGAAATGTCAGAGAATTCATCACGGATTGGAAGGCTCTCTTGAGGCGAAGTTAAAGATTTTAGAGATATCTCAGAGTCATTCTGAAAATTTATTGATTTGTTGATCGCGAGCAGCATCTACAAGCAAAAACACATACATATAGCAACATGGATTTCACTCCAAGTGCACCCAAGAAACCATATAAACTTCAACTCGGTAGTGTTCAAGGAGGTGGAGGCTCGGTTTAATGGGCACGAAGTCGAGAAGTTCGGCTTACATGAACTCAGACTTTTATTTAATGAACACAATCCTCAAGAGCAACTGTAGATGAATCACATTTCAAGTTCAACACTTAGAGAAGAGAGGAAAAGACACATTCACGCGGCTCTCGAAGTGATGTTGAAGACACTGTATACCCTCTATAAAAAACCTTTATGGCAGAAAGCTTGCGCTCTCTGAAGCCGATTTTCGAAAAAGTATATCTGGCACAAAATGGTGAGAGGAAAGAGATTGGCTCTCCTCGGACACCTGGAATTCAATAGAAGAGAGTACCATGGTGAAACAGAGCATGAACTTGTGCAAATATTAACAAAAGAAGGAAGATTCTAATTCGGTATTCGACGCCATGGGAACACAAGAGAGACATGCCTCTGGTAAAAGGAGACTCAGAACACTGAATGTGATAAACAAGTCTTTTTCTGGGAGGGATTAAAGTGGATGCGACCAGGAAATGATGGATAGGAGAACGTATTTACCGAAGAGAAGTGACAAAGAGGACAATGAACTGATTACTTCTCAGAAGTACTGAGTCAACCATTATCTGCAATTAATTCAGAAACGGCACCAGTAGCCACAAGATGGTCTGTTGACACCAATTATCCAACAAAAGCCCAAGTTTGGAATGCAGTCAATTAATCAAGTTCGCAATGCAGAAGATTTTAAATCTTATGTACCCAATATAAGTAAGTTATTCAGATTAACAACACCAGTATTTAGTCAACCATTTCTTCTACATAGGAAAGAAATGCATCTCCAACAGGTTACTGCAGTTGTTTATCAACAGCTGCATTCGCTGGCTCCATATTGGATTGACTAGAAAGAATTAGCAACAAGATATTTAGGTGGCGAAGCAACCTAGAACCTAGAAATGAAAATGAAGTAGACACATTTCTAGATCGTTCAATAACATCGTGCTATGGGATACAGCTCCGATGTAAACAGGTTAAAAATTAAATATTTGCGTGTCCATTGGTGACTAGAGGAGATCATGAGAGGAAGAGAATATGAGAGACTGTTTGTAGTCTTAAAGTAGGTTGCAAACGACTACAAAGAACAGCAAAAATCGTGATGCGCTTTTGGAGCCAAATGCTCAACTGGGAACAGAAGAGAAGTGAAGTATTTGTGAATAATTATCGTGCATTTACTGAATGATACATTGAGTGTATTCCCCACTGTCATTCATGGATTTTAAATTTTTCCGTTAACTTATTCTAGTTGAACCCTTTCGGTAATCATTTTGGCTGTAGAATTTGATTTCTATTCAAAGTGCTTGATGACTTAGTTGCCTGGTTTGCTGCATTTTGTTAGCATTTTGTCCATAAATACTCTAAATTCTTATGCACCCTTTTCACGCAAAGCAAAGCGGGATGAAATTAAAAGGAACCATTTTAAATCCATGTGGCTCACAGTTGTTTCATTAACTTCTATGATTCACACACAGCATCATTTTCAGACTAATGAATACATCACCGACATCTTCATGTGAATAAAACTTATAATTAAAAACACCAAATTGCGTGAAACGTGAAATTTTTAGTCAGTGGAATGATGATCACTACTGCACGAGAACCAAGTAATAAAAGAACACCTAAAAACTGTAGGAGATCTCCATTTTACACATGATTTATGTTGAGTGTCACACAAACTCGAAGAATTACAGACGATTTCCAACAAAATGGCTGAAGAGGCAGTCAGTGGAGGAAGGTCTGCAGGTGAAAACAGAGAAGACGGAGGTGATGGAAATTGTCAACCATCAACAAAACGAACAACAAACGGCACCTATCATCGTCAATGGAAGAGAGGTTTCCTCATTCTATAATCTAGGAAGCATCGTTTTAATCACCGGTGAAACGGATTAAGTTGTTGAATTCAAGATCCTAAAGGCAAGATACACATTTATTAACTTGAAATTGGTTTGGAAATAGTCTGCAATTAACACAAAGAAAAGATTCGGACTTTCAGCACAAGTATGAAGACTCATAGTTCTCCTATGAGGGTCAGGAACATAACAAGCGTTACATGAAATTGATTTTGAAGAAGTGACAGAATTTATCAACAACTGCCTTCTCTGGCTTCCCAATAAAGATCAAATGGCTGGTCAGAAAGACCTATCATAAAGGAACTTTGACAAAAAGTCACAAAATAATGCAGGAGAAATTTGAGATGATGGAGACACATTTTGAGAAGACACTCGAGGAGGATCGTGCGCCAGGGCCTCAAGTAGAATGACAATGGCAAGCGACCAGTGAGTCGTCGTAGGCTGACATGGGGGAAATGTTGCCAGTTGTATTTGAGGAGAGATTAGGACCGATCGTGGAACCAGCTTTACAAAAAAGCACCAAATAGAACAGCCCCTGCGTTCCCTTCGGAACCCATAAGAATAATAATAATATGAAGCTAACAGTTTTCAGTAAAATCCATGGAAACAGACGCCTTCATAATTCATGTAGAATCCAAAGTCTATATTATACTAAGTTTATAGCTGAATATGTCCTCTGTATAAATAGATGAAGGTCACACAATTAGCCTTTGAAATCAGGAAATTTAAACATTTACAAAATCAATCTAAGCGACTATTCAGCCCCAATATTTTGATGAATCTTTGATGAATCAGCTTTATGTAACTTCCTACCCAAACCACTCTGTAGCTGTAGTAAAAAGTGAACTCCTCAGATATTCAGTAGGGTCAAAAAATAGTTTTTGGTTAGAATTTCGTCGAGCCATGTTATAAACTAGTCCTTGATTATCAGTCTAATGGTGCACACAAATATATGAAATTTGGGTCGCTGACTTTAATTGATAGTAGTTATGAAGATTTCTTTATGAACAGGTCACTTACTTTGGCGCTAAGAGGATATGACTGTTTCGGGAATAGGACAGTGTTCGACATCTCACTAGATGATTGGATACTCAAACTGTGAAATTATCCGAAAACTGAAGTTAGCACTGGGATTCGGTTAGTCAACAATGCCTTCTAAGAATGGTGATTACAAATTCTTGAGTTTTCAGACAGTACTTTCTAATAATTAGTTTATAGGAGCACAAAAGTTTTGTTCAAATTCAGGATAATAGAATGGAAAACTTACAAGCAAATGAGTGGTGCAGCGATCCGAAGATTCAGGGGGAACATTTCACCTGTGCAAAGAATCAAAAATGTGTTCAGCAATAACGATCAAAGCCAAATTTTTGTTTCAACGCTCAATATTCATCCATCTTTGTACTTACGTGTTTGTGACGACTGTCATGCACTAGATCATTAAATGATATCAGAGAGAGAGGACAGTTCCAGCTTTTGCGAGATCTTATTCTGGTGTCTCGATGATTGATGACAAATATGGGATGCCTATTAAGACGAAGCTTCGTAGCTGGAAGACCTATTTCTAGGGATGGAATACTTCGCCTTGAATTTTTAACTCCAGTGTTTGATTCACAATGTGTTTTTATTTAAAGACTTGAAATGGAAACGTGGAATATTTTAAAACTGTTGGTAGCTAATCCTGTTTGTGGTTAGAATCTTTCTGTCTAGTGAATCGCCTTATTCCTCAAATATCTATAGAGAATTTGGCATATAGATATATATGATAATGAGAATATGTTCACATCGCCTGAGACCTGCATTTTCCCAGATGCCCAGCTCTTTCCATCGACATTACTAGGGACAGAATATGCAAATGTGGTGAATTCAGGAAATGAAATCAAAATAAATTTTATAATAAATGATGAAAATGGAATTCATCACTTCAGAATAAAGTTACACAGAAGTACGTGTTAGTTACCTTACGATTACCTAAATACATTCAAACCATACTACATCATTCGATTTGTAGTATGTTTACCACTTATGTTGAAATGTTTATTTTTACCGACCAAAGGTTGAAAATATATTCTCCTACTATCGCCTTTCATGTTTTTGCTCAAGAAAATACCACAATTTGTTTGAAAAGCTCTATGTACTCACCAGACAGCTAAATCTTTAAAAACAAGCTGAAATTACGATTTGTTGTGATATCATTATGTTATAAGTGATGTGTTCTGAGTACTTTAAACAGATTCAAAGGTGATTGATAATGTAGTGTGTTTTATTCATTCTGCACTCTTAGAGTATAGTGTGAAAAAAACAGGAGTTTAACGTAATCTGTGATCCTACTGGTTATAGTTTATTCATTTAAAGTTATGTTCATAGAATTCAAAATATAGTTGCGTAAAGTATGCGCTGTTACTCTCATGAACATGCTGCGTGTTATGGCTCTAGCTTGTTTTCGACATCTGTGAAACTATTGTTATGAAATGCTGACCATACACACAACTATGCACATTGTTGGGCTGGTGAACCTCACTCATTGTTTGAGAAAGCTTGAAAAATTCCTATGATATCTTCTTGCTTCAGGAGCTGAGATGCCATGTCTGTCGGTTCTAATTACTTCTGCCGAATTTCGCAATATATCTCTCGAGATTCGTTTCTCGTTTTAAACTAGATCTCAGGAACAGCAATTGAGATTTCATGGTATGCAAAATCTCAACTCAGTCGGTCTCTGCACTCCATTTATTTCATTCAGAAAGTTTCATCAACAGCTTATATATAGACGTAGATCCGGAGTAGCTTAAGGATGTTTACATGTTTTCGAAAACATTAAACGTAATAAGGAATTAATGCTTCTTCACATGTAGTCAGTAGATACACAAAAGAGGGAATAGAATAAGGTACAAAAAAGTAAGCCAATGTTGATATTTTAGGCAGCTAAGTATGTTTAAGAAGGTGTTCACTATAGAATACAAATAAGAGAGAAATAAAAGAGCCAAAATTATGTTATTAACAACAAAGCAAGTCACAGGTTTCGCGCTTAACATTGTCTCTGTCACTTAGAACACGGGCCGAATATGGTATCGTTGAGTTCCTATACTTGGTTCTATGAGCATATATTATTTTGTACTGATTTCTGGTTCTACCTGATCAGAAACAAGCAGAGAGTTAGGAATAGAGGGAGTGTTGGGGGTCGGAGAGTATGGTTTTACACCATTTTTCGCAAGTATTCAGATGCCTTTCCACCAATGTAGTGACGAACTGACTGAGTCTTACACCACTAGTCCTACTAACTACCTTCAACATTCTTCTCAGGATGGTATAGTCCTTTTTCAGTAGCCCAGGAAAGACTGAGGGGGAGCAGTAGAGTAGAATAGGTAAGATACGAGAGTTGACATATTGTGAAAGTAGAGGTTGGGTGATTCCAGATAGTCTAAGTTTCCTAATGTATTAGGTTAGACGGAAGACCTTCTTAGAAATCGTTAGGATATGAGATGACCAAGTAAGGTCGGAAGATAGAACTAGTCCGAGGTATTTTGCATTAGACTTAGTCTAATTGCAATACTCATGTCCACGAACCACTTTCAGACAGACAGACAGCTATGCAACAAGGACAGTCGCGTGAAATCGAGACAACCACAAATTGATCTCACTTGATGAATCACCTCACCGACAACATCTCGTCGAATTTCTGTCATGTCGACCGGATCTAGCTAGCTGGGCCACACATTCTGTTGTTTGTTCATCCTCGCGATTCAGATCTCCTTCAATCATCATTATCATCATCATCCTCAGCAGCTGCAGCAGCAGCATCCTACTGACAACTAACTCCACTGACACTGTCACCATATTGACACACTGAGTAGAATAACCAGCAGCAGCAGGTTGTCGAGAATTGACCAGAGTTCCGATGAAATCACTAACGACACCAGTCACAATACCTGTGATGAGCATAGTTTAACTAAGAATAATAATAATAGCAGTCATAATAATATTGTCAATATAACTAATGACCAATAATAATTAGAATAATGCTTTTGATTGTAGTATTGCAACAACAGAGAGCAAGACACGGGAGTCAGTGTATATTTTTCATTAGTCAAAACTCTGTCGTTCATAGATCTACAGTTTATATTCGTAAACCAACCAATTCGTTAACTGACTGAGGAGCGTGTGATTTCGGTTCACATCAAACGACATGAAATAGAATGTTCAAATACGCATAAACATATACATATACATAGTATTCTGTTTTTTCTAATGCAGTGTGTTGAACTGTGGGAATAACCTTCTCACTCTACTCTACTCTAACATCATCACACAGAATGTTCAAATGGATAGATATATGGTATTGTGTTATTGTTGTTCCGATCTGAACTGTGAGAAGATATGAGAATAATAACATTGTGTTGGCACACATTGTCGTCTGTATCACACCGCCACCACAGTGTGTGCAAGTGTGAGTGAATTTCCTAATGGATGGAATTCAAAGAAGTGAAGTAGTGCAGTGTATGTATTATTAATGACAAACAGGATGATTTTAGCAACAATAATAATGACTGACGATACAAATGAAATAAATAAGTAAGTGAGGCCACTGTCAATAATAGTGATGAAGAAGAAAGAAATGACAGTACATAGAATTTTATTGGTGGATGGTGACTACCTGTGGAATCCAGGATAACGCGAATTTCGTCGTATTTGGGAGTCGTCCGCCAGCTGGATGTACCTGCATTCTCCAGTGATTGATTGATGATGTTCCCACAGCGGCTCGAAATTTCTGCTCGTGTTTTTTTAGGACATATTTTGTATATTTTTTTTATTTACGAACATTCTCGGGCGTGTTTAATCAAGGGCGAAACCCGGTCTTTTTTTATCTCGATTTCGGCTCAGGTTGGTTGTAGTGAGATCAACTTTGACGTCAATGAAGCGTTTGAAATTCTTTATCGCATTCCTACTAACCTTAATTTTGCCTTACGAGTTCTTCTTCTATATATAGCTGAAGCCATAGAAATGTACCTGTATTAGCTAAAACTGTGGGTTCAGCAAAAATGTGCACAACCAGTTTTCTTTCCTTGTCCATCGTTACACGAATGTCTAAACTGGACTACTTTTACTCGCTTTCACTAAACCTTTGAAAATTATAAAAATTATAATTGTCCAAATTATTTTACTATTTTGCTGACTACCTTATTTTTTTTTTAAGCCTGTCGGCTTAAACCTTGGGCTACCAAAATTTTCTGTCACTGATATTGCATCTGATTACTTGGATTTATTTTGTTTTAATTATTCATTTATGTGTCCAAATCGTATCTCTTACTCTCACGATTATTTGAAATGTTTTCAACCTGATGACTTACGAGTATATAATAACCTTAAGAATAAGCATCATGGTGGGTGGCAAAGATCCTTAAAGTGTAATTCAATGCATCACATGACTGTTTCTGTGATTATGAGCACAAATTGCAGGTCATTATCGAACAAGATTAATTACTTGGATGCTATATTATGTTCAAATATTTATCGTAATACAAGTGTAATAACGCTTCAAGTAACTTGGTTGCACGATTCATATGATGACAATTTAATCTGACTGAATGGTTTCAGTATGTACAGACAAGACCGAAGTAGTTCAAGGAAGAAGCGAGGTGGTGGTGTTGCTACTTTTATCAATTATCAGTGGTCTGTTGCCGACATCTGTTTTAAATTCTCAAATGATTATACGGATTGTATAACTGTCAAATGTCGACCTAAACACCTATCTAAATACGAATTCATTTATATCACAAACATTTATGTTACACCTTGCTGTAACTTTTCAGAACTGTCTATGTTTGCTGGTGAATTCACTATTTTCGCTGCCTCCTCTTTTAGAAACTCATTCACAGGTGATTTCAATTCATGTGACTACAGCTTTCTCACAGTGCTAGATCATGAAAATGTCGTCAACTTTCCACCAGACTGGATAATTCCCTTGATCTTGTATTTATCAATGACCGTGGAGTATACGAGGCTCGCAAAAGAGCCCACTATTTAACACCAATCATTCATTGTATGAGTTTTACCTAAAATTTATGGAAAGTTACACATGAAAACTTTTTCACACCTCTCCAAGAAAACTGTACATGTATGTTACTCAAAAGAGAATATTTAGAATCTTAGGGGCATGCTCAAAGACACAAGGTGGGACCTGTTTAATGAAGATTCTCTTGATGACACAATCTCTAATATTACAAGTTATCTCAAATTTTGTCTTGACACCTGTTGTCCCAGAGAAACGCTCTTCATCACATTTGACCGTTTCTCCTCCCCTCAACTTAAAATGCTTCGCAGACAAAAAGAAAAGCTATATAAAATGAAGGACAATACAGGTTTGAAAAGAATTAACATCCTAATAAAATCTGAAATGCACCGGTTGAATTCAA